TTTCATTGACATAGGTGTCATTATTTTAACGCATGAAACCATAAGCTGATTTATATTATTACATTTCGCGCTTTAATAATCACATCAATCAACTGTGTCGTCAAATTTCAGCGGGGGAACATATGTAGAATCGCTGATAAAGGAGATGCAATGTGTCAAACTACTTGTACTGATAACACCATTGTGATGCAATGTGTCAAGCCACTGGAGGTACTACCCTTGGGAGGGGGGGGGTACACGTATCCTTGTGTAATTGTAGATGTTGCTATTTTCCCGGGTCTCTACACATGGTGTTCAGCACTTTTCAGGTCTCTATCAGTGAATCTTCATGTCAACATGGTCCTGGAGACCGTCCCTTTCACTTTCATACGTCACATTGGAATGCATTGTTTCACACAATTCATAATATGTAAATTATGAAGCTGCTCTGGTAATACATCATCAGATGGTTGTAATTTTAAAAGCTTTAAAAAATCGTTTATCATCACATTTACAACACACATTTTAAAGATGATTTTAACACATGATGATGACTTATCACCATGATAGCGCCGGAGCAACTAACCTGACCATTTCTCAGCTTCTCTCTCCCATCTAACCTACAACACTGTTCTCCGCTGGCTGTAGTGTAAATTGTACAGGAAGTTTGTCGGTCACGTGACTGGACCAGTCATAAATACTCAATAGATTTAACTTGTCCCTCCCTTACTTGACATGTAGTATGTACATATTCAATTTTCCTATTACAATGTAAATTGTTTTTCTTTTACTGTATAAAATTGACCATATAGATGGAGCTAGATGAGTGAGTTAAGACTTAAGAAAGTATGCATTATATACTGATAAGTATAATAACTATTCGAGAACATATTGAATGATGTGTACATTATTGTACATATTATAACTTGTCTACTTAGTTTGATGAGGAGAGATAAGTGGCTACGAGATAAGAAATAGCACTCCAATACTAACATGGTCCGGTACTTCATCAAATAAAGGAAGACTGTTGTCTCCTTATCTTGTGTTTATTATCGCAGACTGAATATATAAGCAAAGACCGTGAGAGTGGCAGTGATAAATATCTGACAACTTCCTCCTTTTTTTCTGAACACTGCCAGACCGAATGTCAAACCGTTTAACATAAGATAAGAAATAGGTCGGGTGTCAAGGGGAAATACAGTGATACTGATAAGGATTTATTCAACCGTATTTCGTTTAAACGAGATATCTTATTTCTAATTTTCAACTGACCACAATCTGGCCTGGGTTGGTGCCAAGTATATCATACTAATACTATGCCTGGTTTCATGCTTATTACTTATTGGGGATAAATTTGTCACCTTCAATTTCGATTATTGGACATTTTTGAGTGGCACCCGAGCGGGTTCAATGTAAGTATTATAATAATTGATTGACATCATTGGCACTGATTTCGACTGGAAATTCTTGGTAATTCCTGGTGATTCATGTCACAATATCTCGATATTAAGGCCCTTTCAACCACGGCCCTTTCAACCGTCGGACACCGCACATTGCAATACCACAATAACGGTACCAATATAACTTTCATAAAGTTACGGGAAAGAGCACTTACTGACTTCTTTATTCACTTCTAGACATTACAACCGATAATGTCCTCCAATATTGAGGCGCATTTTGCATTATTATCTATAAATAAAACTCAGGTACAACAAAGAGAACCATTTAAAAGCTTTTATAAATTATAGGTAGTCCTACTTGGTACTTTCATTATTGGTATTTGTGCGGAAGTACCAGGGAAGGGGAACTGGTCCTGGATCTACAATTCTAAAGGTGACAGTATCTAATTTGGGTTCATATAATTTGAAGAATGGCTGCATTGTTATCGAGCTAAAACTTTTAGAATGCACTAAAAATAGTCGAGTGTTCTTCAGTATTCCACAGCTGTCTGACTATTGGCTGATAACAGTTAAATGTCGCAATAATCGGTAATTAACGCTATAAGTTATAATAAGTATCAACATGTTAATTGTTATCAAGTATAATAACACTACTTCTCAGTCTGTACCAAGTACTATTTTAAGATCGTTAGTACTGACTCCTCATGAGACAATACGTACTAATGTTAATAATATGAGAGTATGTGAGCATGAGGAAGGAGACTGAGGTTTTAGTCAGTAAAGTAGAGTCTTGTTCTACGTGTGTGTATTTAGTATCGGTAGACTGAGCGTACATGTAGAAAAGAGTATAATATATGAATCAGTATGTGAGTGCTGGCCTGATAACTATAGGTTCTAAATTTACATCACAATCTACCTGACTGAACGTGTAATAATTAGCCGTTTAAACCTGTACTCTTTACATATTTCACGATTCACTTTCTGTCCTAAATAATATGTTATGACGCACTTGATGTACGGATCACCAGTTAGACGTAAAGTCAGGAACATTCCATGAAGACAGCCAGGATCGGAAGACATGGCGGAAGGTGTATGTGTAAGTTAGACCAGCCATAATCAAGTAATTATAAGTCAAAATTTTACAAATTATCATTGCCATTTCACGGAGAGTCAGCAGTGTTACAGGAATAGAATTCGGGTCAAGTCGGTTAGACTCCAAACCTGCAAATAATTGCAATATTTGGTGTGCCACCGTTGTGGCTAAAGAGAATGTGCAAGGCTGGATTTATAATTTAAGTAAATTAATGAGAATTATTGTGTTCACATTAGATTCCAAATTTTCAGCAGCAGGAGTGGGATGTGTGGCCTAATACACTGTCAAAATACACGAATAATTTGTGATCGTGAATGCATAATTAGGGGAGTCACCGTGTATAATTGAGAAAAAAAGATATTTAAACTGGAATAATATGAGACAAATTGATATTTCTCAGATTGTCACCAGTTTTGAAATCCATTTTAAATTAAACTAACCAACCTCCGCGGAGGAACCAATCAACTTTTTTAACTGTCCAGCCATGAACTGATCTGTGAAGCAATTAAGACAAGTCGGGAGGTCTGGACCACATCAATGAGCAGCACAATTCACATCAAATTACCAGAAACCAGCCTTGACAGAGCAGTATATACAATAAATACATGTAATTATTAACACAGCGTATGTGTTTTTAGTCATAAGATTGTATTTGAGAGTGTGTGTCAGGAGTGTTAACTAGATTCTAGTGTAGCTGATGGAAGAGTTGTGTGCAAGTAAGAAATGCACAGTAGGACTTGGTCTACAAATTGGTCTACAATTTGGTCTACAATTTGGTTCACAAGGTGCATTATGGTGCAATATAATCAGAAGCACAGTGCCCGGCCTAATACACACGATAGAGCAATACATCTCTATGTTTATTTGCACTACACAGTAACCAGTAATAACACCCTTTGGCGCTCCAATGGTTTCAGTAAACACAAACATTAAACACTTTACTGCTCCACTTGTGTCGCACCAATAATTATACTAGTACTATCATCCTGTTTATCATAATATGTACACAGCTTAGGCATGCCTAGGCAGTAAGGCAGCTGTAGACACTAATGCTCCATCTAAAACTGTTATCCACTGAGATTTAAAAGTTAGTATATTGATCTGCTCGAGACTAAACAGCTGATATAAATCTACGGCAGTATCCAGATAGCCCGACCCCTGTTCGGCGAACCAATCAACTATTCACGAACACCTGTTCGGCGAACAACTGTTCGCGAACAGGGGTCGGGCTATCTGGAAACTGCCAAATCTACGTCATAATAACATATTATCTTCTGCATTGTCTTCAGCAACAAAACATACAATATATATGCAGGCTCTCTCCACATGTAGATTGTATTATATGATATGTGTGGTACATGTAGTGTAGGGGACCAGGATGTGTTAGCTAGCTGCACAGGTGCACAGGATGACATAATCCACTACCTCCAGAGCACATGTAACATTGTAACTGTTACTGTCTGCCTTCCTATTCGGCAACAGAGAGCTGCTTAGACAGCTACTTACAGGTATTATGTCCTGATGATTCAATTGAAATTATCAACTATTGGTGGGGAGGTGATGCAAGCTTGCAGGATCTGCAGAGTTAATGTGTCTTACAAAGCAGATAATGTAACAGTACGGTACTATAATATACAGGTGAACTCATGGCAGGTACTGATTGGTGATAAGTGGTTACGTGATTGGTGATAACACTGGAGCTGATGAGTGGTTCTAATGGAGAATAATAGTGACAGATTGATAGAGATTGGAGATGTATGGTTACCTTGCTTTACCTTGTATGTACATTGGTAGAACTAGGTGTACCTTGGTGGTTAATGTTTTACAGAACTGAATAATTTCAATTTAATCTTCAAGAAGCAGTGGTATTGTGGGTACACATAATATAAGTGCTTGTACAAGCTTGGCATGAGAGAACAAGCCCCCACTCAATACAGGAAGGCTTTAATTTATTCTAATAAGTGCGAGAACCCGGCATTATTGTAGGTCAGGAAGTAGCGTGTATTATTTGCACCTGGCACCCTGGCGCTCTGGGCAGTACATTGTTTTACAGGGAGGGCTTCTACTAAGTGGGTCAAGAAGACTAAACATTAGTCGCTATTTTTAAGTTAATAAAATTTTACCGTGATATTATTTGGTCTAGTCACATTTTTACAGTTACAGTGGCCTCAATCGTGGATAAAATGTTACGGTTGAAGTATTACCATCCAACACCCTAGGATTGATGTACTGGGTAATATAATTTCCTGGCTACAATTGAAGGAGACATACTCGGCTAGACATAGTCGGAAATGTCATGCTTTGTTATGTTCGTTTCATTATGAATATGAGAATTTAATATGACGGAATTGAATAATGAATATATAAAATTTTGCCTGGTTACATCTTTTTAGTGATACTGTTTATAATAACTTAGTATTTAATCAAGTTTGAATGTGTTTCAGGAAGCCTCTTGGGGTAATGATTATTATTATTAACACCATTTTTAATAGCGTTTTCTTGAACAAAATTAACTTGACAAGATTAACCTGTTTCTGAACGACGAGACTGGAGGGTACTAAATCGTGAATCCGAGTCCAACAGGAAGTTGTCAGCAATAGCAGCTGAAAGTTAAAACATAATTGACAATGAACAAATTGCAAAATCACACTCACAGTCTGCAAAAGATAGTGAGAAATAAACCTATGACAAACCGTTAAAAACAGTCTATCAAAACATTTATCATTTCTGTGGCACAGTTAATTAATTATTAGAAACAACACAACTCGAAAAGTGAAGTACCTGTTTCTCTTGTCGAATTTCGCACAAAAAGAATAACAGGAGATCTTGTTCTTCTGAGAATCTCGACAGCTGCATAGTGTGGCAACCCTTCTAAGCTAATACCATTCACGGCTGATACCTCCATACCAACTTTCAGCAATCCTACAGCCCCACCACCTGACTCAACCCTTGACACAACCAATGGTAGCTCGACATCCCCACCTCCCTTCACAGAAAATCCTAAACCGTTTGGTCCTTTTTGAATGAGTATTCTTCTGGTTGGTAGTGGTGACATACTCCAATCACCTTCATTGAGGTCCTCCTTTTAATTTTATTTTGTTACTAAACTAAAAAACGCAGATAAATATCAATTGTGTGTTGCAACTACCCTTTATTTATTTATTATTACTATTTCAAATATGGATGGAAAATTTAAATTTTTTTTTCGTTTTTCCCTTGATAAGATATCTAGCAAAATTACTAGCAAAATTGCAAGAGATAAAGAAATGTTGACACACAAACTTTATTAAGTAAAAACAGAGTACACTCATATAGAACCATATTATATATCAGCCCAATCTTTTATCTCTGTTGTATCTCTGTTAGTCCTGTCATGTTATTAAGGCAAAGAATCTGGGATTCCATTTTAATTAACCTCTCAGATCCTAGTCACTTGAAGGAAAGATTACTGCTTGTTCCATCAAGCTAAAGACTTTTAAATGCAATCTTATGTGATTGAAACAGCTGAATAATCAGGAGAACCATGATTGAGGGTTAAATGAGTGATCCCGCCAAAATATCTCAAATCTTGTGAGAGAATCTCTAATAAAATTTATCCAAACAGTATACCGTATACACAGACAAATTCAGCAATGGTTATGGTCTAACTACAAGGTTAGGCACCCACAAAAATTTGTTTCACTAAATTAAAAAGCTTAAAATCTGAGTAAAACCTATTGACAATTCAATCAACATTAAACAGGCTCTAATTTTATGTCTAAATATGCTGAGATATTGTTATAGCACTACTGAAATAAAGGAAGTATGGGCAGTGGTGCTTGATAATCTTAGAGAATTCTAAAATACAGTGATATTTGTACAAGTTTTGAGCCGTTAGAATTTTTAATCTATTGAAAATGGGTTTTGTATGCTCCTTTTCAAAGTGTTTATGGTCTAGTTTTTGCATACCATATGGTCTAGTACGTGCACATGTTGATTGTTTAGCTAAATATGAGTCAAGATCGCCAAAAAGGATCCTTATACAGTGCTTCTGTGTGATAAAAAGACTATCATTGGACCGTTTAGTTCTTTGAGGACAACACCCCAAACACTTATAAAGCAATGAAAGGCATTAGTTTGGTCAAATCAAACGGAACATATGCTATCAGACTTTCAACTGACTAAGGCAGGGTTAAAACAGTTTCGACGCTAGCAACGATCCCCTTTTACATAGTTCCACTAAAATGATAATTTAAGATTAAATATGTATAGGTAAATAAAGTCAAAAATGTAATAAAACGGTAGGGATATAAAAGTATACTGAAACTAAGTAAACGTCATAAAACTAAATGTACCCAAATTAAACTGACAGATGTCCCGCGCAATTTTAAAACTCCGTTTTGCGCCGCTGCAAAGTTATTTTAAAACTAAATTCAACACGTGCGACAAATATTTCGCAACATTAGAAAAATATGCCAACAGGTCAAGCTATACCATAACTGAGATGTAATTCAAAGAGAGCATTATATATTTTCAAATATAGTTCAGAAGGTATCGAGTGCCGAATTCTGCAGATCGCACCAGTCATAGATCGCAGTTGTTTTTACTATACGGATGCAGTGCATGTGGGCAATCCAGTTAAGCTTACTATCTATAACAACACCTAAGAATTTGGTATCCTTAACTTTAGTAATAAGCTTACCATTGATGAATATTGATCTAGATTCATCTAGCAGGATAGCAAATGGTCTAGTCCGTGCACAGGTGTCATCATATTCAAAGGCAGGTTTAAATTGTATGTAGCAGCATTTGGACATGTTGATATGAAGTAGATTACATTTCATGTAAATCGAGACGTGTTTAAGTACTAAGTTGGCTATTTTGTATGTTGCTTCTCTAGATGGTCCTGATATGAAGATATTAGTATCATCAGCTTAAAGTACAAATTTCACCCTACTGTCTGCAAAGCAGTTTACTATATCGTTCATATACAGTAGGAAGAGTAACGGCCCTAGAATTGACCCTTGTGGTACTCCAAATTTCACGTCCATTGTTTCTGATGGTACATCGTTCTACATAACATACTACTTTCTGTTAGTCAAATAGCTTTTAAGTAAGGTAATTGCTGTGCCCCTAATACCGTAGGAATTTAATTTGCATAGAAGAATATTGTGATCAAGGGTGTCGAAGGCTTTAACGGGTGACACTCGTAAAATATTTGTTCCAAATACGACAATTCCAACTCGGCGCGCGTCCTGGTAGGTTATAAACCTACAACGAAGGCTTTGCTCAAGTCAATAAATATCCCTCCTAGAGAGTTGAGAAACAATTTTTTCCCGATCCATGACTCAAAGTGCCGAAGGCACAAAAAAGTCAAAGACAAGGGTTAGCGAACGAGTTGTAGCGCGATGCACTACTGGGTCGCGCCGCGCATCAAATAATTCTTCTCGCAACCTTCGGTAGATCGGCGAAATGCACCACTGTGCCTCACCGAGCTGCGAAGGATTGACATCGTGAATCAAGCGAACGAGGTTTTTTTTGTATATGGTAGCTTTCGTCCTGCGAGCGTGCGTGCCTGCGTACGTGTCGCCCACGTGTCTGCCTGCGCAAAGTTATTTTGCGCGAAAATCTGAATTAAACAATTGTTGGCGCGCGGTGCTGAAATGTTCAAGTACATTGTTAGTTTCACCTTGTACGCATCCCGCTAGGGACTAATTGATAGCATAGTATTATTATTTTGAGTTAGTATTACTATTTTGCACAGATCCGTGTCAGGTTGCATAAACAATAAACATATGGTTACATAGAAATATACACGATTTTCAAATTAAATATGGAATTATATCAACTGGGCGGCGCTCGGCCTGTCACTCCGCCATATCTGCATGCTTATAAACAGTAAAGACTGGGGTCCCAGGTAGTATGGAATATGATCAAATACTTAAACACGGATCGGGAAATTAAGCGGCCATCCACAAAAGAAAAGCGGCCGCATTTCTTGTTAATTAAATAGTTTCATCTGGTAGTTGTTAACTTTGAATTACAGCGCTGCAGTCTCCTATAGCTCACAGGGGGGGGCTGAAACCAGGTTTTCGATCAAACGCTGCCATTTCACATTTGTAGTCAAACGTCGCTAACAGTTGCTCTCGTCCAATGAAATCGCTGCATTTTGCCTGCCATTATGCATAATTGAATTACATATATTCGTATGCGTGGCTTGGCTTTCATAATTGATAATGCAGCGATTTCATTGGACGAGAGCAACTGTCGGCGACGCGACGTTTGACTACAAATGGCAATGTTTGATCGAAAACATGGTTTGAGCTGAAACCAGGTTTTCGATCAAACGCTGCCATGTGTAGTCAAACATCGTCGAAAAGGAAGCGACGCTTGACGGATATTGTTACTCGTTTAGATTTCTTCGAAGTAGCGCACGCCACTTTCTTTTCGAAATGTCTGATTGCTGATGGGAAGTGCTACGAAGTAGCGCGCGCCGGGCCAGACCATTAACAATGGTCAAAGAGACGCGCACTACTTGGAAAAAATGTAGACGAGTAACATTTGTCAAGGAGTAGGGTGATTTGTGATTTGGGTGACCAAAACGAGCGTACTAAATCACTCTACAGTCGATCTTCGAGATTGTTCTAAAAGGGCCCCGACAGTTGAAACCAACTTCAATCGATGTATTTTCGGACGCTGATTCCGAATCACCCCCCATGACATAGGGTTAAAATGCTCCCCTGACGAGATATAGGTAGGCAGTGTGCCATCGACCGTAAGACGCGCGCGCTGACCATTGAATGGTTTTTTAGCTCGTATTTCGGCCAGCACATTATTTCGGAAACAATCAAAAAGTTATAATACTTCCCATATAACAATTTTGTTGAAATTTGGTCAGCTTACGTAAACACTTATGTTCTACTGAACCTAAATTAGTTTGAGCAATTTCGATGGTCAGAATTTGAGTTATCAACGAATTTATACCTATTTTATCATTTTTAGACCTCTTAATCAAGGCCAATCTCTCCAAACTAAATTAGGTTCGGTAGTTAAGTATGATTAAAAGGTTCTGACAAATTTTCAGCATGATTCATGTCCAGGAACCGAAGATATGACAGAATAATACGACAAAAATCAACGAATTTCGCCAAATTACGCGAATTTTACACCTAATTTTGCTTGCTAAAGCCGCGCACCATCAAATATGGCACCTAGGCGAAACTCACTGATCATTCCAAAAAGGTATGACAAATTTGGTACTGTGAAAATTCTCACAGTCTCTAGAAAACAGTAGTACAAAAATTTTGAAAATCCGGGCAAGTTTATTTTTATCGTGCACCCCCTAATATAGGCGAAAAACTGTCTCGATCACGTGATATGACCGTATAAGGAAGTTAGTCTAATTTCTCGTTAGGGTTAGGGTTTCAGCATATGCTTTTGATTCACGATGTCAATCCTTCGCATCTCGCCGATCTGCATACGGATTGATGCATTCCAACAAGACACGCGCCAAAGACGCGCAGTTTACTGAGTGATGCCAACGATTTCTTTAGACTCATTGATGTCATTATAATTTAGCGTGACCGGTAATAGTCTGGAAATCAGAAGGAGACAACACATGTATAATTTACTAAAAAAGGAGTATCAGTTTACAGGATTGACTTCGAATAATATTAGGTAGGAAATTAATAACTCTCGTGTCAACTTTAGAGACGGTAACCACATTAAACTGATTATGCGACATCTGTCATACTCAGAAAATAGGTTATTCGGACAGTAGTTCATTCATATCCTACTGTACGATTTTCTTGAAACTTTCCATAAAGTATGGTGGTTTTAGGACGGATAATCCGTGTAAGTTTGAGCGAGTTTCTATGTGCCAAATTTGAGACATCACTTCAAACACAAGAAAATAGTACTGTCGGACAGATGTCGTGCTACCTAAATTAAGAGGACGTGTAATATATTCATTATCATATTAATTCATGACCTATATCTCCTTCGTATAAGTTTTCCTAATCAAATCCTCGTTTACGCACGAGACTGCGAGACAATTTAACTTATGTAGGTTAGTATAATATCTACAATTAGTGAACTGACAAATAATCCAATGGATGAACATAACTTGGACAACACAGACACGTAGCAGACTTTTCTCTTTTACCACAAACTTATCAAGCAGCAGAATTAAACTTCCCGGTTCATATGCAGTGTTGCTGGTCATTTATTCCCATGTGTAGCAATGTCATGGTCGTGTTTTACCCAGGTGTATCTATAACTCAGAATTTACTTTTTAATACATCATTAAAATAATTTATCTAAAAAAATATGAATCATACTTATACCGATCTCAGTAACCCAACAGATTAAACCATGTTGAGTGAATGATAAAGATATAGTGTCTTGCTAACACACCCATACCCCTAGCATTGGGGTGAATATCCCACTTCTTCGAGTATAAACTATACTTAGGAAATAACTGGTAGTTCCTGTCGCCCAATGAACTAAGGAAACTACTGAAGACATCAAGGTAAAATAATTTAAATTTGGAACAAAGACTAAAGAGTAATTTGTTTATAGTGATAGAGACCACATTTTGTTCTCCTTTGGGGTTACCATTAGCAGGTATAGGGAGGAGGGACTGGACAAAGATATTTGCTGAGGGAGCTAAGGCTTTAATTTTGGACATAAAGTTGAAAGTTCTGCAGAGGGCTATTAAGGTGTATAATGCCAGTCTGACAGTATCGTATGTCGTTTGTCCCTACACACACAAACAGTTTCTTAATCTCTAAATCAGGGTGGTCTCTCACAAATTGCTCGATTGAGTGTAATACAGCATCAGTCTTGCGACCACCCTTTATAGCGACTTTGAAAACTGTCTGTTTACCCGGGTTTTTCTATTTCCAGTCGCTCAAAGTATCTCCAGCGAGGAGTATGATCTTCTTCTTAGGGGGGCCAGTGTTAGGAGGGGGAGGATGATGAGGAGAAGAGGTAGGAGTGGTCAGTGGTGTGGGTCAGTTAGGTTCCTAAAGGAAAGACCATGTATCTAACACCACTCTAAAAAAAAACCACTCTCAGGGCCCGGAGGAACTCTATGCAGTAGTCTGGATTGACAACCAGCCTTCATGATATTGAGAGACTTGTCTGCCGCTGGCACAGATAATTCTGGGGAAGAAGGGGTACCTTTCCTGCCTGAAGAGTTGTTGTCGTTCCTTATGAAGTCCAGTTTTCTTGCTGCACCGAACAACACCGTACAAATGTCACTGTCCTGATCAATCAATGGCTCGTTGTCGTCATGGTAGTTCAGGTTAGCTCCTTTACAGGACATACAGCTGACAAGACAGGCTGTCATGTTTCCAGAGGTGGCCTTATTGTTGTTAACAAGGCAATTGTTAACAATTTTGGGGAACTCGTTGATCGGCTTGGGCTAGTTGACCACACTTATACGAATCATTGCGGGGACTCAGCCACAAGGTCTTTAATTTCTTTACTGTTGTGCGGTCTTCATCGTTATAAGTTCTTTCATTGCTCCATCAACCAGGGGCTCTGGAAGGTCAAGCTGGATGTGATTCACAAGATCCGAAAAATGCTTAGGCTTAGGAGAAGTTGACGGTTTGGGAGTGATAAAGGACTCAGGGACTCTGAAGAGGGAGTGATAAGGGGTTCTGTCGGATGATCTTCCAGAAGGATTTCGATGGCATCTTTGAAGTCTTCTTCATTGTCATTAATGAGGGAGAGAATGTGATTTTCCTGCTCTTGAGAGGCACTGAGAAGAAATTCAGTGATGAAGGTAGGTAGAAGTGGGGTTGGGTTAGCTTGCATCAATGGACAAAGTTACACCAAATGATCAGGATGGCAATCAGGGTACTAAGCAGCAGTCATCAGATACTCCCCGTAAAATGGCCTGAAAATAGAGACGGGCAGAGGGGAGTAAAACTTGTCTGCGGGTAAATTAAGTACCAATAAAGATCAGAGGGAGAGAAGGGATCAATGATAAAAATATAAAGTTATAAGGTAAAATGTGAATCTAAAATGGAATATATTCAATAACTAGCCTGATTGAGAAATTTAGGACCCCAGAAAAGCTGGGGGATGCTAGGAGAGCTGCCGCTGCCTACCCTTTATGCCAACTTCACAACCCCGGGACTTCGGCTGGCTTTTACTCTGACATCGGCTGAATTCCGTTGCCATAGTTTTTAAATTATGTTCCTGATCGAAGTTGCAATAATGCTAATAGATTTGATACAGCTCAGCAGTCACTGTATTCAAATTAAGACTATTCCAGTTCTGTAGTCTCAAATGTTTTCGCCCTTCTTTTCTTTTTATCGCGGTTATAGAAGACAGACCTGAAGAAATACTTGTATTAATATACTACTTGTATTAATATACTATGATAATATAGGTACCGTAACATGCCCAGAATGATTAAAATTGTATTATCGGAAAATGTGCCTATATTTTATAAGTCAGTTCAATGAACCTACCTTATTTACCGATGGAAATTTGTTTGCTTGTGATGAAGTAGTCCTCTCAATATATGTATGTAGTTTGTTAAAAGAGTAGGATTGTAGACAGTAGTCATAGTCCATGTTTAGCGACGGTAGTTTACCAGCAGCTCCCTGTACAAACAGAAATATGGTTATTATATAATATCACTTGTTAAATTATTGAGTACAATGCAGGAATACACTAACGTGTCTTATACTAACACCTAATAGTCGTATAATATGTACTCATAAACAATGATAGTCCCAATTGTTTGTAATTGCTTATAATTTAAACCTTCTTATTTACTCATTTTGTGTCTGACCTAAAATTGCACGAGAAATAGATAATATTATGCGTCAGACAGGGCTCGACCAGGATACCGGCGATTTTGTACCGGTACCGGCCGGGATTTTGGTTTTAGCCGGGATTTTAGTCGGGATGTTTCCAAAACAAATTCAGTTTTTTCAACGTAAATGTGAGTCTAAATTTTGCAAATCTGTAAACATTTTCCTAAAACATTTTAATGAAATCATTGAACAATGGAGACTGGAGTCAATCTTTATTTAAAATAATCATGGGTTTCATGACGTCGATTTTATATTTTCGTTTACGAGTAATGGACTTCTTTCTGAATTTAATGCTATAAATATGACTCATGACTTAATTATTGTGACTAAGTGTGACAAGTAAAACAGAGTTCTCCGGGTAAATAAAGCATTAATAAATGCTATTCAGTATTCGCCCTATTCAATTATTCAGGTAAGGTTATTTAAACTGTAAAGTGTAAAGCTCCAACGTCAAACTCCATGTTCAATTAAATTTATCTAAGTAACCAATACCAGATCACAAATATGAGTTATGTGTCAGTTTTGACTTATATAAACATATTTCAGTTTGTCATTCTAAAGGAGTAACGGAGAAATATTGGAATAATCCCGGTACCGCTCCCGGTATCGGGTGGTATGACGCTGATCCCGGCCGGGTTTTCGTTTTCATCCCGGTCCCAGCCGGGACGGAGGTAATCCCGGCCCGGTACCGGCCGGGAAAAAATTTCGATCCCGGTCGACCACTGGTCTCAGAACTCACTAACACTCCCTTCTCACTCAAAATTGATGTTTTACAGTTATGACGAGCAACAAGCAACATATATTTTGATCCGTCGGTTCTAAGGCAATCTGAGGTTATTTGTAAGCTTTCGTTCAGAAAATATTTCGGTACCTTCAAATGGGGGTAACAAGTAGGAGTAACAAGCGTTGCAAGTGTTTCATAATACAAAAATCGGCAGAATGGAACAATCCCGACCCACCTTAAGTGGGAAGCTTAGGTGGGAAGCTTAGGTGGGAAGTTTAGGTGGGAAGTTTAGGTGGGAAAGTTAGGTGGGACTTTGGATCACATCACTCTATAATGTTCAGTGTCCGAGCGTTTAGGTGGGAAGTTTAAGTGGGACTCTTAGAGGATCGTGTGATTGGTCCGTGAATATTGTCAAGGACAGATTGTGGTGATAATCACTTCACTTCGCCCGTCATTAAATCACACTATGGTATAAATACCGTTAAGATCATCATTTTCATCCTACCCCGCAACCACAATCTATCAACATGCCTTTCCAACCAGCTAGACTTGGACTTCACTTTGAGATAATGACCCTAGCAGCAACCGAAGACAGTTCCAGATCGTTCCTGATGACCAAGCTTCCCACCTAAACTCCCCACCTAAACTTCCCACCTAAACTCCCCACCTAAACTTCCCACCTAAACTTCCCACCTAAACTCCCCACCTAAACTTCCCACCTAAACTTCCCACCTAAACTCCCCACCTAAACTTCCCACCTAAACTTCCCACCTAAACTTCCCACCTAAACTTCCCACCTAAACTTCCCACCTAAACTCCCCACCTAAACTCCCCACCTAAACTTCCCACCTAAACTCCCCACCTAAACTCCCCACCTAAACTTCCCACCTAAACTCCCCACCTAAACTTCCCACCTAAACTTCCCAACTAAACTTCCCACTTAAGGTGAGTCGGGATTGTTCCATTCTGCTCAAAAATCTTCCTCCTGCCATGCTGACTAGAACCTTCCCCTTAAAAGTAAACAAATCTGAATTACATCCCAACGAAAATCCAGATCTATTGAGCAGCAGAGACAATCATTTAAGGAGACTTCAATATCTATCAGGAATCTGGAACATGATTATATACTGCCGTGAGAACTAAGCACTTCGGGATGTAACACATAATATTTGGTTTTCTCGATTTCATTCATATTTAGACATAAGTCCGTTACGTGTAGATAATTGGTTAAAGAATAATTGGATATAATTTTATGCGACGTTGGGTCTGCGAAACTATACGTGTGCGTGAACTGATCACCCCGCAAATGCTGAAAAAGTAGATATTACCTACCATAAGATCACCGCCCGCACCGCACACGACAGAGTTATGACTATGTAAACAAATTTTGTATCATAATGATTTGTTGCCATGGCAACCGAAACTCCATCGGGAGAGGCTAGTTACGCATAATATACCGTATCAAAACATTGCCATATCATAGCTACATTCCAGAGATTAGATAATGTGTGTGTGTAAGAAAATGTATTATACAGTCTGCTAGAACATTCCGTTTACACATGGTAAAGTGATAAATATGGTGGCCGATAATAACTGCTCCTTGCTTAACAACTTGTTCAATTTATTTCCGAATTACACACAAATTTCAGAAATGATAGATATGTGCCGAACTAAGATTTTCTCAAAGTACCGTAGACTTTAATCAATTACAGAGGGTGTGGACACTGGCTCTATTTCACTATTATAGTTGAAACTAGTATAGGTACCGATTACAGTGATTTTACAAAAGTTGAAACAGTAAACACCAATTTGTAGGATACTTTAAATCACACCAAAATTGGTCCTAGATTAATGCAATGAAATCTGATGATGTCTTTTCAGTGAAAAAGAGGCCACACTGTAATTGATTTAAGTTTACGAAACTTTTAGAAAATGAGTTATATTACTTGCAACTAACTAAGATAAATTGAGTATAAATATCCGGCTCAGTAAAGGCTTACTGGGCTTATCGACCTAGTAGAACAGCCCCCTGAGTGGATTGCAAGACAGTCTCAATTGTGATCTGGTGGGCCCAGTTAGAAAAGCCCGATTGTGCAAAGAAAATCTGTATTAGTTCTTAATAGCTTGATCTGCAAGAAGAAGCAAGGCGCTTTAAACTGGTGTGGAGGTTGAGGGTATATAATAGATTTTGCCATTCTCTTCCTTCAAACCATTTCCGATGGTTTGATCGATGGTTCCTGTTATATATGACAATCAAGGCTAACCAGCCTGAAACGATAACACCGCAAAAGTTTGCTATGCATTGAGTGATGCATCACGTTTCCGCCACATCTTAAAATGGTCATAAACCGGCTAAATTTTAATTAACCAACTTCAGATTTTACAAGGGCCAAACAGGGTTTTAATATTAAATTTGATAAATTTAGTCAAACATATTTCTGTTTATACAGTTATATAACTATAGACTTAGTCGGCTGCCGGACAGTTTCACCTAACCTAGATCAAGCTACCACGAGAAGATTCAAGATGACGAATCATACCCGATTAAAAACCAATTGTGAGCTTAAGATTATAGCAGTTATAGACTTAGAACCGAATTATATTGGTGGATTATTATCTCTGGACACAGGACTCCGTGTCTAAAGAAGGATAAATTAACGGCTGGAAAAAATTTAACTGGATATCTGCCACAATGCTGCTATTATTAAGGTTAAAGTATTGTAACTTATAGCACATAAAGAAGTCTGGTTTGCTAGGTTTTAATTGGTCATATAATAACAAATAAAAATGAGTTAAGACTACAAAACCGGTCAATACAACCTAATTATAATACCTGTATCGAGAACTCGACTTCAATGCACTGATAGCGTTGGTACTAACATTCTGCCAATTTATGTCATATACTGAGACTTGATAGCTGCCTGAAACAGTTTTGAGTCAACAATTTCGTGATATTCTAGAAATTGAAACCAATTCTCAACTTTAAAAAAGTAGATTTCAATAAATGCCATTATAGAATTAAATTCTATGGAATTTAATGAAATCTACTTTTTTAAATTCCAAGAATTTGTTGATTTATTAAAATTCTGTCTCAATTAAGGGTACACGAAATGTAGTTCGACACGCCCTGTAGACTCACTTATTGGGTTCATGCTAGATGCTTCGTACAGCACCCTCTTAACCCCCTCTGTGGCGAAGATGAGGATGGTAAGTACAAGTAATGTGAGGAGAGGATGCGCTCTTACAGGTTTCTTCAAGTGACTCGATGGTTTAATTGTGAAAAATCATGATACGAACTTTGATGAACCCATAATAATATAGTGCAATGATAGTATTCTCATAAGTTCTACTATACCCTTGCAACCGTATACAATGTACATACTTAGTGATATCAAGCTGCAATCTAAAATTTATTAATTGAATCTCATAATCACTTCAAATCTTACCTAACAGTTGCAGTCTAGCCTGATAGCGACATCTTTGGAAGTGAGAAATAAAATCAATTGTAATCCAATTCTGCGAGAGAAGATTTGCCCAGACAGCTGACATGAATGTATTACCATACCTCCTGTAAATGTGGTAGTTATTAGGTTATATCAACATTGGAAATTAAGTCAAAGTTTTTCTCAGTCTCTGGTGTCAATCACCAGTAGAGTGCCTCAGCCGCACCAAAGGCAAAACAACCTACGATTCAAAAGGGATCCCAAATATGTTTTTACGTGGGAAACATCGTAGAATACACATGCTGTACACTCTAGTTTCCCAGCAGATACTGATATCATGCTGCAGTGTTAATAAGCATAAAAATTCAGCACAAAAATGTAAAGACGACACAAATTCATGCGGGACGTTAATAAATGTGTCCATGTTGAACTCAAACTCCGACAGAATAATATATCAAATCGGATATATTGATATTATTCAAATGGTATTTGCTCATGTTCTGTCTATAACTACAAAACTTAATAAATAAGTAAAGTTCTAAAACGAAGATCACGACTAGGTTTCATCAAATTGAAAAGAAAACCGATCGAAGTGCACTAGATACTTTAGGTTTAAAGGTCATAATTACTTAAATCTCTTCCTAGCAATCAAGTTAATAATCCTAGTTCTACACCTAAACGAATACAAAATGACAGCCTAACAAGTTGAAATTTTCGATATCCAGCTCAACATACGACTTCGATACCAATATTATAGGTTTATACCGATGATCAGTGTAAGTAAATATTTGATTACATTGCCATGAAACATAGTATTGAAGTTCAAAATCTTCCTAATTGTGTAAGAATAACATAAAGAAACACGTACTATAGTCTACTGTTACGAAAGGCAACTATTTAATTAAATAACTGAACAGTACTAAAATACACAATTCAAATAGTAAATACCAACGTAATTGACAGGCAAACTCAGGAAATGAGAATTTAGCTGTAAAACGAGCTATATATAGAGCTATAACGTAGCGCTCGACTCCAATTTGAAATTAAATAAAATTGCGCTCCGACGAGATTAACAACCAGCTGCTGGTTGTTTGAATGTTGGTTTGCACACTACTGTGGTTGCGAGAAGCATTATTTGATGCGCGCGCGACCCAGTAGTGCATCGCGCTACAACATATGCTTTTGTTAAGGATTGGGTTAGGGTTAGGGTTGGGATCAGATAAGAGGGTTAGGGTTTCGAATAGTCGTTCAGGACCAGCTAGAGAACGGGTTGAAAAAGTCACGTGACAGTCGAGTGTAGAGTGATTAATTATCATCCGTTGATCCTAATGTTAGAGTTTATCTGAACAACCAGCAGGTTATTTACTCATTATTAATTTAATGCGATTAATTAATATAAGCATATTGTCATGATATCTGTAAATATGGTGAAAGTATTGTTATATGAAGAGGATAACGTTTATAAATTATCGTGGCGCGTGAAAACATCCCAGAACGTGTTTCAAAGCAAAATGTCGAATGTTGATTCAGAAGGGTATATCATCATCAATTATGAAAGAAATTGCCCTATTTTCAATTAGAGCACGTGATAGATTCTGAACAGTGGAGATGCTTGTCGTGGAAGTTTTCTCTATGTTTGATAATAAAAAGACTTAATATTTGTATTCCCTGCATAAGGTGTACAAATCAGAGACATATCCTAATCCGGTGATCCAGTATTCGACGAGAGATTCCAGATACTTGTTCGGACAAAACACTCTATCATTCCAGAAATAGCTGACCAGGTAAAGCTAAGAAACTCTTATTAGCAGTTATTAATAATAATTGGGAAATTATCGAATATAATTAATAATACATCGTAAGGAGTTAGATCATAAAGATGATTACGCACTCGACATAGAGGACCTGGAACACCACCCTCAGGCAAAGCGATTACTTTTTCTTTTCTTTTTTCAGACCCTGAGATTTGACGTATTCGACTATGACAAGTTTACAGACGACGACTTTTTGGGTCAAACTTCTGTCAACCTTTCAACTGTGAGTCGAGCTTAAATTCTTAAATTGTAAATTGTAAAAGCGACCCAATCTTGTTAAAAGAGCTACTATGATCATTCCACTGAAAGTAACTCGTCTTAAGATTGAAGATAGATAATGTATTTACCATTTACTCTGCATGCATTTTTCATGAAACAAACTACTTCCCTCATTTACATTACCATCGACAATAAAGTTTGAAAAATTAACAAAAACAATAATTTGTGGTGACACAACTTTTAATTTTATATCCCGCAGGACGTGGTTGTGAACAAAGGTCTCTACCTACAGAAAAGGGCGTCAAAAATTGGATACAGTGTTCTGTATGTTTCCATGGTGTTCAAACCAGTGCCATTCTATAAATAGAATTATTGGCTCGAGGGACAATTGTGAAATGCAAAGTAGCTGATTCTTCAAAATATATGAAATTAATTAGCTGTTAACTGATTCTTCGGGATAAGATTTGGATTTTTTAATTATATCAGAATGTGCAGAAAAATGTAAAATTGTTTTTTCACAGTAGACTACTACTAGTACTACTACTAGGGCTATGCAAAAGTACTTTAGCTTAAAATGGGTCAAATATAGTATTTTCGGTGTATAACAATCCCAAATCGAGCGATCAACTGCAAAAAAAAAAGAAAAAACGTAATCAATAATTTTGTTGTCCCATTCATTCACAATTGATTATAGGAGGCACTTACGATGCGTTACGACACTAACTGAGCTCGTTACAATTTACAGGCCGTGAATAATGGGAAAAGCGACCGACCTATTTCATTATCGGTATCATTTTGCGTTTGGGTACGGTAATTCAAATTGATATCATTTCCTTTTGTTTGGAAGAATGAGACACTAGCAACGGTCCTGCGGTCCACTCTACACAATTTTGGGTTTTGTTTAAGATATACATGATCTGAATACCTGCTCGTGTCCAGGAGTTACCTGGGGACCCAGGCCAATAATATTCATAAACATTGATTATGCGGCGAAATAAAAGACTGAGCACCGCCTAGTAAGTCCAAGAGGTGTTTACAGTTTAAGCATTAAGACCGTGCGACAATATTAGTAGAACCTACTCCTTCTTTCGTCACGAGACTTTTTCCTCCATTGTGAAAGCATTTACTGTAATTTCACCATATCTTTATTCATTGTGCTTACGAACACTGAAGCCTGAGATTCACAGGTGAGAATGCATCTTGATAGCAATCATCCCCCTTCTGTATGTGATCTGTAGATCAAATTGAACAATGATTTGAACACACTCACTTTAATTGTTAGTTCGTGTGTTTATTGTTCTGTCGTGCCTGATTTTACCATTCAAAGATCCTGTCCGCAATTTATTCACTTGCTAAAACTATTTTGTTTTACGATTGCTGTTGATACGAAACAAGACGAGCTTTTATTCAACGACGAAATGAAGTGCACCGTGATCTCATATTTGATGGGGTAAGAAATTATTCATATAACTGAATAAATACGACCATTATCTAAATTTTTAAATATTGTCCTCAGTCTTCAATCACGATCAATACTAATTTAATCGATCAATTAATTCATATTCATTTATTTTCAGTTTAACACTGATGCTTACTCATGGGGTGAGAACCGAAGAAACGGCAGAAAAGGAAACCGTGGCAATGTACCCGGGTGAGTGACATTAGAACTTTCACTATAAAATATAACCTTAAATTTGATTAATTCTATAGCCAAAAAGTAATTTTAGATAGATCCAATCAATCTTTGAGTAGGACAAACAATAGCATAGTTCAGCCTGTATAACACAATACGGGTGGGCGACAATTGTGACCCTGACCCTGACCCTGACCCTGACCCTAACCCTGACCCTGACCCTGACCCTGACCCTGACCCTGACCCTGACCCTGACCCTGACCCTGACCCTGACCCTGACCCTGACCCTGACCCTGACCCTGACCCTGACCCTGACCCTGACCCTGACCCTGACCCTGACCCTGACCCTGACCCTGACCCTGACCCTGACCCTGACCCTGACCCTGACCCTGACCCTGACCCTGACCCTGACCCTGACCCTGACCCTGACCCTGACCCTGACCCTGACCCTGACCCTGACCCTGACCCTGACCCTGACCCTGACCCTGACCCTGACCCTGACCCTGACCCTGACCCTGACCCTGACCCTGACCCTGACCCTGACCCTGACCCTGACCCTGACCCTGACCCTGACCCTGACCCTGACCCTGACCCTGACCCTGACCCTGACCCTGACCCTGACCCTGACCCTGACCCTGACCCTGACCCTGACCCTGACCCTGACCCTGACCCTGACCCTGACCCTGACCCTGACCCTGACCCTGACCCTGACCCTGACCCTGACCCTGACCCTGACCCTGACCCTGACCCTGACCCTGACCCTGACCCTGACCCTGACCCTGACCCTGACCCTGACCCTGACCCTGACCCTGACCCTAACCCGATCAATTGACCCCAGTGTAATTACATGGGGGTCAATTGTCGGGGCGTCAATTGTCGTACTAAACTCTTGATTTCGCGACAATTGACCTCAGTGTAATTACATAGGGGGTCAATTGACGGGGGTCAATTGTCCAGTAGTATATAATAGAACATTTTGATTTCCTAATTTTTTTATTATACAATATTTATATTATTATAATAATAAGGCTTATATTTCAGAGGAAGAGGAAGTTGTTGTAAATCATTGTCCTACTGATTATCCCAACGTCTACAACAACGGACAGTACTGTTGTAAATCCAACATGGAGAAGTTCTACGAGCCTCAGGGTGCCCAATGTGACGGCAGTGTGATTCAGAGAGACAGTTTGTGTTGCGCGGGAGACCAGTACACGTCGTGCCCCGGTGGAAACTGTGAGAGCAACTCAGCACCCACACCAGGTGAGTTAGTTGTGTATATTTAGTATAATTAGTATAATTAGTTTATAAGCTTCAAATCTTGATATCCTTTAATTCGTCCGGAGAAAGGGTTGCAAGTTGATCTTACGGACCTTAACCCATTAGGGACGACGAGTTTTAAAGTTTGCCGATTTTGATGCCGTTTAACACACTAGGTCACTTTACAGCAAAAATGAGATATCCAAAAAAGCTAATCTGTATCTCGTTTACTTTAAAAGATACAGCTATGGTCGCATACGACCCACTCGTTTTTCGGCTTTAACTTCTGAAACAAAGACGTTAGGATAAAATAAAATAAAAAGCATAAGTTAAAAACATATGGTCAATACTGTGTGACTCTAACTTTTTAAAAATAAAGAATTTGGGTCATTAACGACCCACTCGGCTCACTTGCTTATTACTACATATGTCCATGTAACTTCTCGAATTCAGCCTAAAGCATGACATCATAAGTTCAAAATCGCCTCTCAGCAAGTGATAATCATCATAAACTGCGAAAAATCGGTTAAATGGGTCATTAGCGACCCACTAAGACCACAAAATTGATTAATTAAATATAATGTTGTCAAACTTTTACAAATATTAGTATAAAAACATGTTATATCTTGGTCATTACTCCTGTACGTTGATTTAAATTTTAAAATCGATCAACTGGGTCAATAACGACCCACTCGGAAGTTGAACCACGACATTAATTATCAGTATCATGTTGTTCTACCATCAAGAAAGACACTCGTAGGTCTTAATTCCACGCAAACCACGGGTGGCTGACTACTAGCCCTTCTGAGATCTGGAGTCTCACGGTAATCTGCAGATCACGTCACCCAATGACTGACGAATAATGGGCAGAATTGGATTGATAGGTAGGTGAGTTTATCAGCTGTTTGTACACGACCGTAATGTCGTGAGACAGCAAACAACATGCCTATCTTTTCCCGATTCCTAGAACGTCCAAGAAGAACTATACAACTGCTGGATTCAGATTTCAGATGGCTGCATCTACTCTCTTCGCAGCTCCCTTTCTTTACTTCTTAGGGGCCGTTCATATATTACGTAATCACTTATTGGACAATTTTTACGCCCCCCCCCCCCACCACATAGCTATTATGTCAAAATTACACAAGCTTAATCATTTGGAAACTCCCCTCCCTCTCGGCCGATTACGTAATACTTGTTTTCGTTTTGAAAGCTGCCTCGTTGTTGCGGGGTTTGTTACCCAAAACGAGGTAGTTGTCTGAGAGATTGCAGGTTGCAGCACCGCCAGCCAAATGGGGGGGGGGGGGGGGGGGGGCTTTTTCCTTGTCCTTCTTCACAGAGCTGTAGATGTAGCCATCTGAATGCAGCAGTTGTTTAGTTATTCTCGTACTTTCTAGGAATGAAAAAAACATATTGGCATGTTGGATTAGAATATTATGCAATTTGACCACTCGTCTTTCAGTATTTACCCAAGGTTACATGATATCTCGTATACTTCGTTCAGGGGATTTTTCTTGAGTGACATGATCTGATCACCGTGGGACCCTGGGTCTCAAGCGGTGGGTTGTAGCAGGTCGTTTACCAAGATTCGAAATTGACGAAAAAGGTAACAGAATCTAATAAGCAACAACAACAGCATGGCTATTACCTAGCAAGTTAGGAACGAGGGCCGATTCCTTTTCTTTTGCGGCACGGCCACGGTCCTTTCCACGCACCATAGTATTATAGTCAGGACGCAACTCCAGGCATATGCAGTAGTGTTATTCTCGCAGCTCTTTGATGAGTGATGACGGCCCTTCAGTTGGCCCTGGATCTCAGAAGGGCTAGTAGTCAGCCACCCGTGGTTTGCGTGGAATTAAGACCTACGAGTGTCTTTCTTGATGGTGGAACAGCATGATACTGATAATAATTGATGAGGTGGTTCAACTTCCGAGTGGGTCGTTATTGACCCAGTTGATCGATTTTAAAAGTTAAATCAACGTACAGGAGTAATGACCAAGATATAACATGTTTTTATACTAATATTTGTAAAAGTTTGACAACATTATATTTAATTAATCAATTTTGTGGTCCTAGTGGGTCGCTAATGACCCATTTAACCGATTTTTCGCAGTTTATGATGATTATCACTTGCTGAGAGGCGATTTTGAACTTATGATGTCATGCTTTAGGCTGAATTCAAGAAGTTACATGGACATATGTAGTAATAAGCAAGTGAGCCGAGTGGGTCGTTAATGACCCAAATTCTTTATTTTTAAAAGGTTAGAGTTACACAGTATTGACCATATGTTTTTAACTTATGCTACAGTTTTTATTTTATCCTAACGTCTTTGTTTCAGAAGTTAAAGCCGAAAAACCGTGATGGGTCGTTTGCGACCCGGACGAGTGGGTCGTATGCGACCGCAGTTAGTAAACAGCGTCTAGCTCTGTTTGTGAACATCTGATTATCACGGGCTTTTCATATGTCTCAAGGAAATCGTTGCCCGCAACTATTTTGTCCTCAACAAAATAAGCCTACATAAAATTTTAATGTCCCAATCAAGGCAAGAAGTAAAGTGAAATATTTTCCAATTATGACGACTAATTAGCCTAATTATTTAGTTGTTAGTAATTAATTGGGTCTCGACTGGAAAGTCAATAATGTAGCCCAATAAATTTTGAGCATATGTGCGAAAGATTCGTTGCGTTTAGTATTATGGTTTGTCCTCTATAGCCTCTAGAAAAGGTGGGTCGTAAACGACCCTATCGTCCCTAATGGGTTAACCTAAACAAAAAGGGCATTTTAAGAGAAGCACCGGGTGGGCGACAAGTCCTAGATTTCGCGACAATTGACCCCAGTGTAATTACATAGGGGGTCAATTGTCGGGGCCGCCGGCCGCGGGGGGTCAATTGTCGGGGGTCAATTGTCGCGGTACCCACAATACAACTGTATACTCAATATTAAGAGGGACACCGGACAATGTTAGTTTAGTAGATCTATTTTAGACGGGACACCATGATAACAGTTGTGAACGGGACACTGCAAATGCTATGTTCCCTAAATCATCATTAACACCGCATTTCACTGGCCAATCTGAGATAACTCACTAAAACTGAGTATCGTAAAGATGTGAATATTAAGGCTTACAATCAGGATTAATGATAGCATAATAAATCAACGCTTTAAAATATCCACAGATTGTAGAGATAACCCTGAATTTGCTGCAAACTGTGAAGGTTGGGTTTCTGGTGGATACTGTGATAAAGGTAAAGGAAATATATTGCTAAATATATTGCTATGTTGAGTGTTGACTACAGTTAAAGTCTCACGATTGTATTCATAATTGGAATCAATGGGTTCCCTCCCCCATAAGCCTTACATCTGTTTTACCCACAGATAGCGAATATTATTTGTTCATGAGAGATAACTGTTACAAGAGCTGTACTGGCTGTGAAAGCAGTAAAACTAAAAGAGGTAAGATTGTTGAAATTTAGATTATATTATACATATTGTAATATGACATATAACTCACTAAAACCAAAGCTGTTTACTGAAGCTGAATACTAGTGCAGCTTGCAATTATGATTAACTAGTGTAACCCGGCCTACGGCCGGGATTTCACTGCCGCAGTTAAAAAGGGTAGGAGTAATTACCCGCTGAGTCAAAACCCGCATTAGGTGACCCAATAGTTTCTTAAACAATAATCTCATAATCAGTTATTTCTTGTGGATAATTAAGTCATTATTAGCCATGAGGCACCACACTCCATGATCATAAGGTCTGAACACCGAGTATTACACCTTATCACTCCCGTCTTGAACCGCTTTCTATTTTTATTTAAATCGTTATAGAAATTAACCCTTGTTAACTCCGCACCACACCCGCATATTATATTTGAAAACACGCATAACGCTGTCTTATGAAAGTATGAAATCTCCCTACAGTTGAAACAAAGCGGCCGCAAGAGAGAGCTCTGATATTACGTGGGGCTAAACTAATTACGGTACATGTTATCCTCCTCGTTCTCTCTCCCATCCATTTATGTCACATTTCTGGAACAAAATCATCAATTAAACCACTTACCACCGGCCGATTTTTTAAACAATTTGCTTATGGGCTTCGTCAGAGTTTTGTCGACACTATACCGAAAAAACCAGTCCCGTAACTTTTACCGTCTTTTTTGTATAACCGTTCGGAAATTTCAAACATACACACACACACACACACACACGGATTTCTTGGTTTTATTAAGGTTGATAATCGCTTTAAAATATCCACAGATTGTAGAGATAACCCTGAATTTGCTGCAAACTGTGACAGTTGGGTTTTTAGTGGATACTGTGATAAAGGTAAAGGAAATACATTGCTAAATATATTGCTATGTTGAGTGTTGACTACAGTTAAAGTCTCACGATTGTATTCATAATTGGAATCAATGGGTTCCCTCCCCCCACCCTCCTCCTCCGAGCAGCCGGGTTAGCGGGGCTGTTCGTTACTCCACTTAGTTCTTTAGTTGCATAAGCCTAACATCTCTATTACCTACAGATAGCGAATATTATTTGTTCATGAGAGATAACTGTTACAAGAGCTGTACTGGCTGTGAAAGAGGTAAGATTGTTGAAATTTAAATTATCACAGTGCTGGCAAGCATGACCGTGCCTCTTATATTCACTATACTATTTACCCCCTTCACTATCATACCCCCTTTACTATTTACCCCCTTTACTATTTACCCCCTTACTATTTTTCAGGCATTAAGACTCATCGGAAATCGTTCAGAAAGTTTATTTTTAGTTCAAAACATTCTCATTCAATGTCAAAGATGACAAGAATAAGAAATATTTATGTAAAGATTTTTAAGAAATTTGTATAAAATACGCGCCAGCACTGTTATACTTTTACGAAATTCGGTAAAAAAACCCAAAATCGCCATATTCAGTTGCCTTAAAAACCATGTTAAAATTGAGTTAGAGATCTGAAACAAAGTTTCAAGTTTCAAGAATATCGGGAAATGGATTTTCTGGAACCCCTGTTTTACGATAGATTCATGCTGTGATACATATATCACAGTGCTGGCAAGCATGACCGTGCCTCTTATAGTCACTATACTATTTATCCCCTTCACTATTTTACCCCCTTTACTCTTTAAAACAAAAACAGGGTATTTAAAACAAAAACAAAACTGCAAAAAAAGTTTCAAGTCTCAAGAGTATCGGGAAGTTGGTTTTCTGGAACCCCTGTTTTACGAAATATTGCCAAACAAAAGAAAATGATATTAATTTGATTGACAAATGCAAAATGATACCGAAGTCGGTCGCCGTGAGAGAGAGAGAGAGAGAGAGAGAGAGAGAGAGAGAGAGAGAGAGAGAGAGAGAGAGAGAGAGAGAGAGAGAGAGGAGAGAGAGAGGAGAGAGAGAGAGAGAGAGAGAGAGAGAGAGAGAGGAGGGAGGGAGGGAGGGAGGGAGGGAGGGAGGGAGGGAGGGAGGGAGGGAGGGAGGGAGGGAGGGAGGGAGGGAGGGAGGGAGGGAGGGAGGGAGGGAGGGAGGGAGGGAGGGAGGGAGGGAGGGAGGGAGGGAGGGAGGGAGGGAGGGAGGGAGGGAGGGAGGGAGGGAGGGAGGGAGGGAGGGAGGGAGGGAGGGAGGAGGAGAGGAGGAGGGAGGGAGGGAGGAGGAGAGGGAGGGAGGGAGGGAGGGAGGGAGGAGGGAGGAGAGGGAGGGAGGGAGGGAGGGAGGGAGGGAGGGAGGGAGGGAGGAGGGAGGGAGGGAGGGAGGGAGGGAGGGAGGGAGGGAGGGAGGGAGGGAGGGAGGGAGGGAGGGAGGGAGGGAGGGAGGGAGGGAGGGAGGGAGGGAGGGAGGGAGGGAGGGAGGGAGGGAGGGAGGGAGGGAGGGAGGGAGGGAGGGAGGGAGGGAGGGAGGGAGGGAGGGAGGGAGGGAGGGAGGGAGGGAGGGAGGGAGGGAGGGAGGGAGGAGGGAGGGAGGGAGGGAGGGAGGGAGGGAGGGAGGGAGGGAGGGAGGGAGGGAGGGAGGGAGGGAGGGAGGGAGGGAGGGAGGGAGGGAGGGAGGGAGGGAGGGAGGGAGGGAGGGAGGAGAGTGATTATGGGCTTTGGTCAAATATATGTATATGATTGTAAGTAAGAAAAAGCCGAAAAAACATTTTATCTAGATAAAATGTTTTTTTTTGGATATTTTATGCTCTTGTCTTGACAGAGCTGACTATACTTTTTAAAGCATAGTAACAATTTGAGTTTTTACTTTGTAGAAAACAAACTAAAGAAATGAAACATTTTAAGCTGGATTTGCATTCAAACTGGTCGACGAAGATGGTAGCGAGGTAAGGGTGGGAGAACATGGACTGTTACTGTTCATGGAAGGAACAGTGTGCGATGATGGCTTTGATGACAACGCTGCTAATGCGATCTGCAAAGAGATGGGATACGAAAGTTCTCAGAGCTGGGACAGTGGAAATTATTTTAATGTTCAGGAAGACTTAGTGATAAAACTAGATGATGTCAGTTGCAGTGAACAAAGTTGGTCTTCTTGTTCTTACAGCGAATCTCACAACTGCGACCATAGCGAGGATGTGTTTCTCACATGTACAGGTAACTTTACTATTCATTCAATATATCTAATTTTTAAATAGCCTACAATTAATTTGTGACTACACTCAAAACCATTCTAATCCAATGAAACTTGAAAGGTACAACGTACGTCCATACCCTTGCTAAACCCATTTTAACGGCCATAACGAGGATGTCTTTTTCACATGTTTAGGTAACTTTTCTCACCATGCTAAAAATTTCCAATTTTTAAATCCATTTGCGAGCTGAAATTGATTCATACGAAAGGTAACTTTTTGGACGCTTTGCCAGTCAATTATAGCCTGTATTTAAGTGCCCGTAGATTCAAAAGCTTTAAAGAAAAAGCCATATTGGACCACAGGTCTTGAGGATAAATGTTTAGACTTAAATTATATTTTAAAATAATTAAACGTCATCATTAACACTTGATGACGTCATCAAGTTAACCATTTTTAAAATTTTATTTTTTGACAAACTAGTAACAACTTTTCAAGTCGATTTTACACCAATAAGGAGTATAGTAATTTTATTCAAAATCTGAGGACATTTCCATGTTGGATAATTTTTCAAGCATTCTGAAAATTTACCGAAAAGTTTTCCTACCTTGTTCCTTCCTAAAGATATTTGCCATTGAAGTAAGTGCTTTTTTGAAGAAAATGTTTATAAAAACGCCAATTTTGCGATTTAGTATTCTCTGGTGTTGGGCCAATTGCCTTGGGTTGTGGAGCTCAGCTCTGCTTCCTATAGGCATAAATTGTGCATTAGACTAGTTTTAAAGTTGAAAATCGAAAAGTTGTGCACGTGGGGACCCGGGACACGCCCAAATTTATATAAAATTGCTAAAATCACCGAAAATTGCGGTTTTCACCATTTTCTGTTAACTTTGGAGTGCCGTTGTGATTACAGTTCTTCTTGAAATACTTTAAAACTTTGCATGCTTATCAAACTATACATAAATTACGAATATGCAAAAATTTACGGTGATTCAATATTAGATGCGTATTCAACGTCCGCTCAAAGTTTGCATGTGCGAAAGGTGAACATTTTGATCATTCGTGATTTCGAACAAATTCTGCTTTGCCACGATAGTTCATATGAATTTAATGCCAACTTGAATGAGTATAATGTGTCATGTTCAGTCAGTGATCGACCGATATGCTTACCTAAACACAAGCAAATGTTTTCAATGAAAAATATTCGAAATGAAGATATCAGTTTATATTTCGACTTTGTAAACTACCCTGACATTATAATCAAAAAGAAATGACATTTGACCAAAACCCATAATCATGAGTAGAGTGGACCGCTGCCAGTGTCTCTCATTCCCAAACAAAAGGAAAAGATATTAATTTGATTGACCGTCTGCAAATGCAAAATGATATCGAGAATGAAATCGGTCGCTCGCTTTTCCCATTCATTCACGGCTTAAGAATTGTAATAAGATTCGATTAATTACATTAATCACATGCTGTAAAAATCTCTTTGGGTTGCGTTCGGGTCGATACTTAGTATTAGGGGGATACGGGTGGTAGTTAGTGGATTAGCTGAAGTTGAATCATGAGTAGAGTGGACCGCTGCCAGTGTCTCTCATTCCCAAACAAAAGGAAAAGATATTAATTTGATTGACCGTCTGCAAATGCAAAATGATATCGAGAATGAAATCGGTCGCTCGCTTTTCCTATTCATTTACAATTGTAATAGATTAAGAAAAACTACCCGAAGGCAGCTGTACTCGGCAATAAAGATTCAAATTCAATTAACTTCAGCTAATTCACTAACTACCACCCGTATCCCCCTAATACTAAGTATCGACCCGAACGCAACCCAAAGAGATTTTTACAGCATGTGATTAATGTAATTAATCGAATCTTATTACAATTCCTAAGCCGTGAATGAATGGGAAAAGCGAGCGACCGATTTCATTCTCGATATCATTTTGCATTTGCAGACGGTCAATCAAATTAATATCATTTCCTTTTGTTTGGGAAAGAGAGACACTGGCAGCGGTCCACTCTACCCATGATTATGGGCTTTGGTCAAATATATGTATATGATTGTAAGTAAGAAAAAGCCGAAATAACATCCTATCTGAGGATTGGATATCTTATGCTCTTGTCTTGACAGAGCTAACTATACTTTTTAAAACAGTTTCACTTTCGTGTGACAAACCTCCTTAAAATGATCGAATTCCTACCAATGAAAGCTGAAAGTTGTACCTAACCCTTAATGAACACATATTGTATACTCAATGCTTCAATGTGACAATAATCTTTGGGGTTATGATGGAGGGTTGTCAACTATAGCATAACGTATCACACAGTTTTTGTTGTATCAGAATTTGGAATTGTTGCCATATATTAAGGTAAATTTGAGTTTTTATTTTGTAGAAAACAAACTAAACAAATGAAACATTTTAAGCTGGATTTGCATTCAAACTGGTCGACGAAGATGGTAGCGAGGTAAGGGTGGGAGAACAAGGACTGTTACTGTTCATGGGAGGAACAGTGTGCGATGATGGCTTTGATGACAACGCTGCTAATGCGATCTGCAAAGAGATGGGATACGAAAGTTCTCAGAGCTGGGACAGTGGAAATTATTTTAATGTCCAGGAAGACTTAGTGATAAAGCTAGATGATGTCAGTTGCAGTGAACAAAGTTGGTCTTCTTGTTCTTACATGAGCGAATCTCACAACTGCGACCATAGCGAGGATGTGTTTCTCACATGTACAGGTTACTTTACTATTCATTCAATATCCAATTTTTAAATAGCATACAATTAATTTGTGACTACACTCAAAACCATTCTAATCCAATGAAACTTGAAAGGTATAACGTACGTCCATACCCTTGCTAAACCCATTTTAACGGCCATAACGAGGATGTCTTTCTCACATGTTTAGGTAACTTTTCTCACCTTCTCACCAACTTGAATGAGTATAATGTGTCATGTTCAGTCAGTGATCGACCGATATGCTTACCTAAACACAAGCAAATGTTTTCAATGAAAAATATTCGAAATGAAGATATCAGTTTATATTTCGACTTTGTAAACTACCCTGACATTATAATCAAAAAGAAATGATATTTGACCAAAACCCATAATCATGAGTAGAGTGGACCGCTGCCAGTGTCTCTCATTCCCAAACAAAAGGAAAAGATATTAATTTGATTGACCGTCTGCAAATGCAAAATGATATCGAGAATGAAATCGGTCGCTCGCTTTTCCTATTCATTTACAATTGTAATAGATTAAGAAAAACTACCCGAAGGCAGCTGTACTCGGCAATAAAGATTCAAATTCAATTAACTTCAGCTAATTCACTAACTACCACCCTTATCCCCTTAATACTAATTATCGACCCGAACGCAACCCAAAGAGATTTTTACAGCATGTGAATTTTGATTGATGTAATTAATCGAAATTTATTACAATTCGTAAGCCGTGAATGAATGGTAAAAGCGAGCGACCGATTTCATTTTCGGTATCATTTTGCATTTGCAGACGGACAATCAAATTAATATCATTTCCTTTTGTTTGGGAAAGAGAGGCATTGGCAGCGGTCCACTCTACCCAATTATGGGTTTTGGTCAAATAATCTCAAACAATAATCTCAGAATGTGTGTTTTCTGTCTGTGTGTTTTCTGTGTGTTTTCTGTGTGTGTGTAATTTCCGAGCGGCTTAATCAAGAAAACGGTAAGAGTTACGAGGCTGATTTTTTCGGTAAAGTGTCGACAAAACTATGAGGAAGTCAAATGATAAAGGGTTTTTAAGTCGGTCGGTGGTAAGTGGTTTAATTGATGGTTTTGTACCACAAATGTTACATAAAATGGCTTGAGCAGCTTAATCAAGTTACGGGGCTCGCTTGCTCTCTCCCATTACTGCATAATATTATGTAGCGTTGGTACATATATCATAATTACGTGCTGTCATGGATACTTTAAACTTATTAGGGGAGGGAGCGCTTATAGCGGTCTGTTTGAACTGAAGAGAGAGTTCATACTTTCATACGACAATGTAATGCATGTTTTCAAATATGCGGGTGTGGTGCGGAGTTAATAAGGGTTAATTTCTATTGATTATTGTTTAAGATACTTTTGTTTAAGATACTATTAGATACGCGTGGGTAAATACTCCTACCCTTTTTAACTGCGGCAGTAAAATCCCGGCCGAAGGCCGGATTACACTAGTATATTATACTAGTGTAACCCGGCCTTCGGCCGGGATTTCACTGCTGCAGTTAAAAAGGGTAGGAGTAATTACCCGCTGAGTCAAAACCCGCATTAGGTGACCCAATAGTTTCTTAAACAATAATCTCATAATCAGTTATTTCTTGTGGATAATTAAGTCATTATTAGCCATGAGGCAACACATTCCATGATCATAAGGTCTGAACACCGACTATTACACCTCATCACTCCCGTCTTGAACCGCTTTCCATTTTTATTTAAATCTTTATAGAAATTAACCCTTGTTAACTCCGCACCACACACGGCTATTATATTTGAAAACACGCATAACATTGTCGTATGAACTCTCTCTCGATCTGCAGTCCAAACAGACCCAAACAGTCCCCCCTCCCCTAATAAGTATATGGTATAACATTACAGCGAATCTTCCTGGGCTAACCCAATTATAACGCTACTTAAATGCAGCTACATATTATGCAGTAATGGGAGAGAGCGAGCGAGCCCCGTAACTTGATTAAGCTGCTCAAGCCATTTTATGTAACATTTGTGGTACAAAACCATCAATTAAACCACTTACCACCCGCCGATTTAAAAACCCTTTATCATTTGACTTCCTCATAGTTTTGTCGACACTTTACCGAAAAAATCAGCCCCGTAACTCTTACCGTTTTCTTGATTAAGCCGCTCGGAAATTACACACACACAGAAAACACACAGAAAACACACAGACAGAAAACACACATTCTGAGATTATTGTTTGAGATTATTTGACCAAAACCCATAATTGGGTAGAGTGGACCGCTGCCAATGCCTCTCTTTCCCAAACAAAAGGAAATGATATTAATTTCCCGGGCTAACCCAATTATAACGCTACTTAAATGCAGCTACATATTATACAGTAATGAGAAAGAGAGAGCAAGCCCCGTAACTCTTGCCGTTCTGCTCAAGCCATTTTATGTAACATTTGTGGTACAAAACCATCAATTAAAACACTTACCACCGCCGATTTAAAAAGATTTACCATTTGACTTCCTCATAGTTTTGTCGGCACTATACCGAAAAAACCGGCCCCGTAACTCTTACCGTTTTCTTGATTAAGCCGCTCGGAAATTACACGCGGACAGACAAAATACACACACACACACACACACACACATACACTCATTCTGGGATTATTAAGGTGATAATCACTAACTCACAAAAAATTTTGTTCTTTGATTGTAAAATATTAAGATACTGCTCAATACCTCAGATTGGCAGCTTTATGGAGCTGCCCTGGTCCAAGAGGTAAACGGTACAGTTATTCGTACAAGAAATGAAGGTTTGCTCGTCGTAAATTTAGTGGATGAGCAAAGTGGAGAAAAGATGAACGCGTCTGTTTGTCCTGGTAACTTTAACTGGTACACAGCAAATACCTTTTGTCGCTACTTTGGAAACGAACAGGGAATGTGGGACAGCAGACCAAACAACTTGACTCTCATATCTGAGTGAGATTTTTGTTAACATTTTTTTCGTTGAAAATTAATTCAAACCTTAGTTGTAGTGAACGTACGGAACGTTCACTAAAAATAGTTTGTGAACGCGTTCGCTAAAAGATTTTAACGTTCGGAACATAAGGAACGTTAATTGCTATAATGAAATTAAAATACCGGACATAGCCCAATTATCCGGCAAAGTACTAGCGTTTCCATTGCCACTTGCATTGATGAGGAAAGATTAGTTGGTGCACAACTTGATGAAAAACGATATTTTCTGGCAACTGATTTATGGGCATTGTCTCTTACTTTTATATTCGTGTGCTGCCAGGTGTTTTATCTTTTAATTTGCTAGCCAGATAAAATTATTGATTGAAATTCCCATTGAGCAGTGAGCACGATTGAAATGATTCAAATTATAATCGTTAAATGCACAATTTTCCTCTGTACTCCTGTAACTCTTTCTTAAAATGAAACAATTGCCGTAATTAAAATCGTTCTACAAAGAGCGGTACGGACCACTTACGTTTCAAATGAATTCAAATTTTTCGTTAAATCACCCTTGTTAAATATCTTTGGCACTATCTTACCGCCCACTTGCACTGGTCGGAAAATTTATGGGTTTCGGCTCTCTGGAAAGTATTAAATTTTTATTTAAATAACCCGCAAGGGAGGGTTGCATCTGTCACAATGTAATTACGCCATTAATTGTATAATATTTAGTTTCAAACAACTCCGTCGTAACTTTATTTATTGCAAGCGACTTAGTTTGAAGAAATGGAGTGACCTGTAACAGTGTAACCGGGCGAGGGGTTCTCCCCGAAATCAACCATAAATTTGACTTTGGGTATGTTGAAAACATATTAAAAACACATGCTGTACGACCTCTTATAAAATTTCAACCTCAGGGAGAGTTCAGGGAGAGTTCATAGTGCACCCTAATGTTAAATATCTCAACTTCAAGGAGAGTTCATAGCGCACCCTAACGTTAAATATTTCAACCTCAGGGAGAGTTCATAATCATAGCGCACCCTAACGTTAAATATCTCAACCTCAAGGAGAGTTCATAGCGCACCCTAACGTAAAATATCTCAACTTCAAGGAGAGTTCATAGCGCACCCTAACGTTAAATATCTCAACCTCAGGGAGAGTTCATAGCGCACCCTAACGTTAAATTTCTCAACCTCAAAGAGAGTTCATAGCGCACCCTAACGTTGAATATCTCAACTTCAGGGAGAGTTCATAGCGCACCCTAACGTTAAATATCTCAACCTCAAAGAGAGTTCATAGCGCACCCTAACGTAAAATATCTCAACTTCAGGGAGAGTTCATAGCGCACCCTAACGTTGACAGCATCACAAAATATTGACTAACGTTCACTAACGTTCACAAACGTTCACTACAAAATGATTGGAACGTACGTTCAGTACGACTAAGTTCAGCGTTCACTACAACTAAGATTCAAACACTTAATGCTGAATAATTACATAAATCATTGTATGCACCCAACAATATACTAATATATTCCAGAACGTTGTTACAACATAACGGATCTATGTTATTGAGTGCTATAAGCTGCAGTAATAATCATAGTGTGTGGTTAAAATGCAACAACAGAAAAGGTGATGGATTTATACTGTGTCAAATCAGGAGCAAATTGAATGAATGAAATCTTGTTGATTCACCTAAGTTTGAAATCAGGAATATCAGATATCGTTATACAAAATTGTGTGGTCCGTGTCAGTTTATTTTGAAATAACTAACAACTCAGCAGATATGTGGAATCCTGTTGTACGTAGTAGGTATATCTCTATTGATCTGGAGACGTCGTTGCTGCATTTTAGAACCTACAGTGCTGCGGGTAGTGGCGACAAAACAACGATATGGTACTCTGATATAGCAAGGAGGTATACAGGAGGTATTGATATCTTGTTCTCCTCCCCTGTAGCATATGCACTGCAAAGCTGTCAGGGCTCTTACACTCCCTTCCAGTTCCAGACAAGTCTCGCAGCAAAATCAGCTAAGCACTGGATAGTAGAAAAACGTGGCTACAAGATCATAATATTCTGTAATGGAGAGGTGGTACTTAACACCACGGTATCCTCTAAAACGTGTAATCATCCTGACTACACTGATAACTGGGAAATTGTTTGGAGACGAGAAACGGACAGTGTCCTGTTCTCATCAGAGCAGGACACAGCGTCACACTCGTATAGCATCGGTTAGTTAATTAGTTGATTGAGAGAAAACTTTTTAGAGGTGCTAATCACTTTCTGGACAATTTTAACCCCCAATTTTAACCCCCCCCCCCCCCCCCCCCCCCCCCCCCGTTATCAGTTATTAGGTAAAATTGTCCAGAAAGTGATTACGTAATAAGTGAACGACCCCTAATACCCAGTATGATACTCAATACTGAATACAGCTGATGCAGTAGTTGGAATTATCGTGTAGTACATAACGTGTACATTACAACTACGTGCTCGTACGTTTATTTACCTTACCGGACTTTATTTAAGGGGGAGGGGGGGGGGGGCCAAGGGGTATTTTTGTGAAACTTGATTATGAGATAGATCAAGCTAGGACCGGTGACCAAAATTTTGAGGGAGTCCCGGACCACAACCGCCCTCCGGCGACCGCGGGGCAGCCACGCCCATATTTTGTCCAAATTAGGCCGAATCCCCTGAACATGTCCAAAACCCAGGTTTTAGGTGCTTTACTTGTAGCTAGTGGTCTCCCGTCTCTTGAACTCCTATATAAATTTTCATCCAGATTGGACACAAAATGACTGAGTTATGAGCCAAAAACCATATACCCATATTTGGGCATACGCTCCTAATTTAATAGATTTTGGCCCATAAATTGGTCGAATATCAATATTTTTATGTCCGTTCAAATTAAGTCTGTCCTTTCATTATTAATATAATTTAATATTTTATTTGACACAAAAGTATCCATGAATAAAGATCATGCGGTACTAAGTAAATATGTTGTCTTGATTTGCTCTTTTAAAGAATACAAATTCTCGCTAATTATTTCCATGATCGTTTCAGAGCGTGTTTGGAAGTATGAAAGAGCAACTTTAATTAACTCGGTTAATGGAAGAATGAGAACAAATGATAAGGAAGGTCTTCTGATCGCAACAGTTATCAACAAACAAACCGGGGAAAAGAAAAATGGTACCTTATGTAAGGACTCGTTTAATTGGCATTCAGCGCAGCTTTTTTGTTGGTCAATTGGACATCATTTCTCAGACTGGGGGACTTACCCGAGAAATTTAAAATACGTTCATGAGTAAGTTTCAATTTTATTATGTTTATATGTCAACTCTTTGCAATCGTTATGAAATTAATAAGTTAATATACCGTTTAAGTGTAAGCATATTCTATTTCTAAGTTTTAAACATTCAGGGATTGGCGCAATCAATCAGACGTTTCAATTACAATGGATGAAGTTATCTGTAAAAATAGTGACACTGACATATCAGATTGTCATTCTAGGATTATGAGACACGACTGTAAATACCGGGACAGCATTTGGCTCCGCTGCTTTAGTAATTCAGGTTTATTTTTAACTACCAATTTTAACTGAAATTGGAATTTCTAATCGACTAACAATGTAATCTTTGATGTTAAATGCCCTCCGATTAATTCAAATTGATCAATTAGTGCTTAGTAAGCCTTGCATAGATGCATTACAATTAAGGGTAGAACTATTAGGGTATTTAATCGTTATATATAATAAATATTTCAAAATTGAATATAGCAATTTACCAGGATGTGCCATAGAAAAGCAGGAGGTATCACACAGTAGTTGCACTATAACAAACATTGGCGGATTTTTGAAGAACCTTTGTTTTGATGAGAGTAAAAAAGAGTACTTTCATAAGTGTGCTTATTCGAACGTCACCTATGTACAAAACTCTGAAATGACTGACAGCGAAACCGAGAGTTACATACTCTCAAGTGTCTCCTCTGTGTGCAAAAATGACCCGTATGTTTATCAGGCATGTGGTTTTAGTACGAAAAAAACAAAACAAGGCGATTTCCTCTGTGGAGGTAATTTTAGTGTTGATGCGAGGTTAGGAGTTAATAGTTTTGTCGCATGTAACTTGGATTGTGGGAATTATTCTCACAAGAACACATCATTGAGCACTACTGACAGCAGCGCCAATATTGAGTGCGATGACAAATGTGACACTTTAACCTGTGAAGATGAGATTCAGTGCGGTGGTTACAAATACGGAATTAACTGTGGTAGTACGTTCGATCGTTATGATAATTTATCCCCAGTAACAGTTTGTGATGGACACGAGCATTGTTATCACGGGGAGGATGAGATGAACTGTGATGTTGAGAACACCACACTACACACCTGTCTTCATTACGGCAAGAAAAGCATTCATACAATTAACAAGAAAGTCCCCATTTTTAACTTCACTAGATGTAGTGTGTTTGATCTCAGTTCATACTATTCATTTCCGTATTGTTATAATTATCTAGACCAGACAAACTGCACAGATGTTAAAAGAGTGGGTGGTCACTGTTTAATCGATGGTTTTATGTCAAGTATATCAAAGTACGTGATTTGTGATTTTAAGCTGATCAACAAACCGGTTAATCTATGTGACGATAACCTAGAAAATGAATGTAATTCACCACCTGGGCTAAGTGCAGACTGTCTTGTCCACAAACACAGACTCTGCGACGGAGTTAGTGACTGTTTTGATGGTAGTGATGAGACTCTTGATATATGTCACTCCACAACGTTGGGTTATTTGAATTGCAGTCGAAGCTTTAATGCTGATAAAAACATGCCAATACCTGTCGCGTGGTTACTGGATAATCAAAGAGATTGTCTGAATGGAGAAGATGAAAAAGGAACTATTGAGCTGATAAACTATTGTGGAGGGATAAATGAAGGTACCTATAGAGTATCTTTAGGAAACAAAACCTGTCAGGATGTTTTGCTGTGTCCGGGAGATTCTAAAAACGAGTATGTTGAGTTAGAATTGCTTTGTGATGGTATAAACTCTTGTGAAGTTGAAAATGATATCTGTACGATTTCAAGAGATATCCCGAGCATCAATACATCTGCTGTAATAAAGAGTTGTGCTGTGCGAGATTTGTGCGAATCAATGCAGGAATCTGAAAATTTAACTTGTAATATTCAGGAATTTAAGAGCCCAGCAGGAAATGCGTTTGGTGTCAGAACGAAAATAAATGTCCCAACATCCAAAGTTACCTGTAGTTCTCAATTTGGTGAATATTATGTCTTTTTGAGTTGCATGGGTTTATGTCTAAACTCTACTTGTCCTCTTCAGAACACTCCCCTAGACTATGATTCATGCCCCGGTCAGTATCCTGATCGAGTCTTCACTCCCGCTAACAATTCTGCTCTAACATTTGTGACTATGACTGATGAAGGTGGATATGAAAATGCATACTTCCAATGTGATAACAAAAAATGTGTTCAGTACAGCCAAGTTTGTAACCTGGTTGATGACTGTGGTGATTTGTCAGATGAACGACTTTGTACAAACCATTTAGTTTGTGAGCATACGAAAAACCGGACAGATGTAAAAGAACACCTAATATCTCATTCCCAGAAGTGCGATGGCAGATTTGACTGCTTTGATTTATCTGACGAATGTAATCTGTCGTGTGGTAAGGAAATCTTAGCCAATTGGCCATTGAAACTTATTTGCTGGCTACTGGGCCTCTTGGCCGCAATTTTAAATGTAATTATGGTGAACAAAGTTGGAAGCTCCATAAAAGAATCCCAATCAGGTGGCATGCTGTGTACTAGAGTGCTTGTCTGTATGATCGGATTAGGAGATTTGCTAATAGGAGTGTACTTGGTAGCTTTGTCTGTATTCGACAGTATTATTTTCGGAAAGGATTACTGTGTATTTCAAGCAGAGTGGTTATCAGGAAGTGCTTGTTCTGTTTTGGGAGTGATCAGCACTATGGGATCACAACTTTCCTTATTTTCGATGACTGTGTTGAGTTTAATCAGGATGTGGGGAATCGTGAAAAGTGATATGGCCGCTCCCACCCGTGTCAATAAACGAGCAGTTCTAAAAGCTGTCGTGATTGTGATCGGAATCGTTACTGCTTCGCTATCAGTAGCGATTGTACCATTGGTCACCGCCTTAGAAGACTACTTTGTGCAAGGCATGTTCTATGATCCAGACTACAAGTTATTTATTGGTTTTCCGAACAAAATCAAGCACATTAAGATTCTTGAAGCATACTACAAAAATGAAAGTTTCTCTGCTGATACATCTTGGACTGAGATCAGCGAAAAGGTTGATGGAATGTTCACCCAGAGTTATGGAACTGGAAGCTTAGAAAAAAGCGCTGTTCACTTTTATGGTAATGATGGTGTATGCCTTTTTAAATACTTCGTTCGAAGTGACGACCCTAGAAGAAGCCGAACAACATTGGATGTGGACATGATCGACGTGAAAGGAAATATGATAGTCTGGCTCATGCTGGGTGTCAACCTATTATGCTTTGTGGTGATTACCTTGTCCTACTTGTTGATCAACATAAAAACTCAGAAATCGTCCAGGAGTTCTGGACAAAACAAAAATCTAGATGCTCTCCTTAAAAACCGGGCAATGCAGAACAGGGTTGCAATCATCATAGCAACAGATTTTGTTTGTTGGGTTCCATTCATAATCATCAGCGGGCTCCACAATCTCGGGTCAATCGATGCTACAGATTGGTACGTCACTTACGCCATGATAGTTTTACCCCTCAATTCCGTCATGAACCCGTTGCTCTATGACAACGCTTTGAGAACATTTTTCAGTAATATTGTCCAAAGTTTTGGTGCTAAATGTTCAAATTGTGTTAGATATTTGAGAGCGCTTAGAGATGAGGAAATGTCGCCTATGGCAGTACCCACCGACGATGTTATCACTGAAACGCCAATTTAGATGGAAGTATCGAGATAGTGATAACAAGATTGAAGGTGAGGCCTTACAGTTATATATGTACAAAGATTTCACAGGCTCACTAGGTTCTTGGATAAAGAGGATTTAGTCTTAACTAAACACCGTTGAAAGACATTACACATTTATATTATCTGTTAATCTAAAATATCAAACATCAAATTGTCATCTTATCATTAAGATGAATTTGCATGTTAATTTTTAATCTTACCTTATCGGACCTTATTTGGACGGACATTACTTGAACGCTGGAGGCCCTAGCGTTCATCTTAATGTCCGTTCAAATTAAGTCCGTTCAATTAATTTCCGTCCAAGTCAAAGTCCGTCAAAAAATTTTCCATTTCGAACTTTTTGTCCAGAATATGACAACTTTGAGAACTTTATTGTGCCGTAAGTTAACGACGGAAAGGTTCTCCTTGGTCTGCCGGAGGCACAGAAAACTTTACTAGTAGTAGTATATGATGTTTTCAAGGGTCACTTGGCGGAAAAAAGTCAACGAAATTATGGCACTCTACAACATAGTTCATGAACTAGTCCCCGCCAACATGACAAACTTGTTCCAGCCTCTAGATATTACGGTAAATCGTGTTGCCAAGGACATTGTCCGACGTTGTTATAGCTCATATTACTCAGGGGAGGTAATGAAACAGATAAGTGCTGGGAAAGCTCCACGTGTTTTAAGGTTAACCTTAAGTTGTATAAGATAAAACCACTTCACGCCGAATGGCTTGTAAAAGTTAACACTGAAATGCAGGACCGGGGTAGTTTGATAAAAAAAGGTTTCCATATAAAAGATTGAATTCACTGATGCATGGACTATTTTATGCACAAAAACCCATTTGATGAAGATGATGTGTGATACTGATATTAGAAACTGATTATGTACACATATTTTAACATTTTTACTGCTTAATGACTGCTTTTCTTACTTACTGTATAAAAATGGATTTAAAAATCATTTGCTGAAATTAAAAAAACGTCAAATTTTTTTAAAATTCGGATTTTTGATGGTTTTGAATGCCTTCGAGCGTTCATATTAATGTCCGTTCATAATTATGTCCGTTCATGTAATGTCCGTCCAAATAAGGTCCGATAAGGTATTTATAGCAGTCACAGTGCTGGCAAGCACGACCGGTGCATTTATTGTGGGTATACTATGTACCCCCTTTACTATTATACCCCCTTTACTATTATACCCCCTTTGGTACACGTTACAAGCCTCTTTCGTGCACGCGAAGCGTGCACTCCGGCCGGAGGAGGCGGCCGAAGGCCGCCGCCTCCGGCAGGAGTTTTTCAGGCATTAAGACTCATCGGAAGTCGTTCAGCAGATTTAATTTTAGTTCAAAACATTCTAATTTGATGTCAAAGATGACAGGAATAAAAAATAGTTATGTTGAGATTTTTTTTGCCTCTGCTTTCTTGTCACCATTTAAAATATAAACCAAAGGAACACATTTGTTGTCTACAACTGAGTGGATGGTGTAAGACTGAAGAAAGATCTTCGGTGATACATAGAAAGTGCCGTCTGCGATCCAGTTTGAGTGCTCCGATAGAGTCTCCATGTTCCTGCTCGTAGCGAATACGATGACTCTGACTCCCCGATCTGTAGAACCATCAAAGAGGACAAAGGGTTCATCTCTTCTGGTGGAGGTACAAGTAGGAGGAAGGGTAAAGTCCTCTGAGGTAGTAGCCTCTTGGTGTTGGGAGGATCCTGATGCTACAGCTCTGGAACGTTGTATCATTCTGGCCAAGGACATGATGTTGGGAAGAGTCTGGTTCACTGCAGGAGAGGTCTCTACCAGGGCTTCGGAGATGAGGTTCTGCGTCGCCGAAAGAGGTTGGTCTGCATGTTTCCGTTTTAGGGACACTAGGACTTCTCTTCGCTCAGAAGCTGCGAGGTCTGCTTCGTGGGTGTGCGTTTTTGGTTTTGGGCAGACTTGAGGGCTGAATCCTTGTCCTTCTTCCGGGAGTAGATGTATCCATCCTGTCCGACCAGAGATGAATTTGGAGAAGGTAGGCATGTTGATAGAATGCGATACTATTGTCTATCACCTTCCCGTATATATACCTAAGAACACTTGATCGGCTCACTCCCGTTGCATGCCTTTGGCACGTACGTCTCACATCCCTAGATACGAGAACCCCCCTTTAGCAAGAGCTCCCGTCCCTTATGTGATATACGAGTCGAGCGGTCAAATCTTAAAGATCATGTTTACTTCTTAATGAACTGCTATGATGTACATGTGAACTCTACCCTGTATCTAGCCCATTTCTAGGTCAGTTAAATCCTACTGATGGATCACATCACTAATTATACGTCACTAATTAGTGATATGATCTGATCTCCCTGGGCCCCCTAGTAATGAGGGGGCCTGGCCGTCGGCCTCCCATAAGTATCTACATAGGTATTTATGAGATTGGTGCCCCCCCCCCTGATATAGGTTCGGTTTTGTAAAGTAAAACACTATATTTTCAGTATTTAATAAAATCAAAAAACTGATTTAATTTTTAACCTGGTCAAATCATTTTTATGAGCTTGTTTGTCGTGTTGATTCTTGGGAAATTTAAAGAAGGATATTTCACCAAAAGTGACATTCATCTCTAATTCAATTCGAACGATATCATTATTTCCATTAAATATTACCAAAGTTACCCGGTGACCGACCAGTAAAACCAAAGATAAAGCTGTTACTTATACTTTGCAGTTTGCCGCGTATTATTAAAGTTAACTTTAATTACATAATATGCAGAACTTCATTTCAATAAATTATTTCATCACCATTGCTGTTAATGCTCTGTGAATTCAGATTCTTTGTTCTAATTTTGATTTCAATTTCAATTCCAATTTAATACGTAAGCAGCTTAATGGAAAAAGGTTCAGAAAAGCTTACGGTTCTACATAGTTTGAACAGTTATACACACCAATTTGTGAATGTCATCAATCAATGTTAAACATCTAAAATATAAAATAAATTATCAAGATACAAAATATTTTGTACCAAACCAGCCATCCTTGGAAGTTAAAACAGTAAGCAGTGTAAGCAGAGTTACAAGACAAAATAAATCACAGACATTGAACCATGGTATTTTTAAACTTACGATTTCAGAGCAAGTTCTCTTTGGTAAAAATTCAGCGCTGGTAAATTTTGAAAATACTGAAAAAAATGTTTCTAAAATCACTGTTAAAACTGCCTGTGCGGAGAAGACAATACTGACTAATCAGGTATTTAGAAGTAATAATGCCCTTATTTGGACAATAATAGGCAAGATGCTATGATTCCATTTTTTCATCCTCTGAGTCTGAACACTCGCCCTCACTCAGGCTCTCTCCTCGCTCCTTCTCCATAATAGCCATTGTTCGATCAGCTGGCAACTGTTTTAGTCCGGAATAATCCTGAGTAGCTGGTTTTATTGATGGAGGAGCAGGAGTGTCCCAGGAGGCAAGAGGTGTACCATTTTGTAGTTCTGGGGCCTCCGTATCGTCATCAGGAGGTGGAGGAGGCTGGACGAGGGGGATGAGGGGGGCTGTGGGACCGATAATGAGCGGTAAAACTGACGAATCCTCTGACATTTCAACAGGATCGTCGCTGGTTGATACTACATTCTGCTTGGTTTTTGTTTCCCTGAGAAGGTTGTCGAAAAGATTGTCCTCTTCAGTCATTTTTGAGGTAACAGATGGTTTGAAAACATTAGCAGTTGTTGAAGTTCCTTTTTTGACGAACGCTGAATACCCAGCCTTCATTGCAGCTATCTTGGATGTCATATTAGCGGGTTTCGGCTTCTCTTCTGAAATTACGAATTATTTTTAAGAAAATTTGTCTTGTCATCTCACTATGACTCATAAGATACAATTTTAAATCCCGTATGCAATTAAGCAACAGTATGTCAAGAAATATAAACCAGAACCAAATCTTCCCTCTAAACGACAAGAACTCGTATCTATGGGAAATTCCTCAAATTCTTACCTCCAACTACTACTAGCTCCTTCGTTTGAGCTGGCCTTACAAAACTCAGTTCGAATTTCTTTGGTTTAGGAATGAATGGTAGAGGAATAGAGTTAGGAGGAGGAATGTAGTCAACAACAGGGTCCTCTTCATCCATTGAACTGAGATTTAATGCGCTTTCTAGAGCATTCGACAGATTTGTTTCTTTCTTGTTCTTGTTGTACCGCTTCTTCTTCTCCGCTCTCTGATGTCTCTTGCGAGCTGTAATGAGAAAATTATAGCTAACAGTGTTAAACACGTCATCAGCAAATAATAGTATTCAATTTAACAAGAAGTCCAGTAAATAAGTGTGGGTGATAAAACTTGAAGAATGGAGTTTGCTCTTACCCAAATGAAATTCACTTTCCCGCTCGAACTCGACAGTAAAGATGTACTTGATATCGTCCTCCGGCAAATCCTTTTTCAGCAAGCCCATAAATACTCCACCCGGCTCTTTCCTGTTAAAGATGCATTCAATTGGTCGATCAAATCACCAATATAAGAATTTTACTATTGATCATATATAATCTGATGTCGCCAACTTTCGAGATTATGAAGATGAAAGACGTTTTTGCCGCTTTAAACTGTTTCAAATTAACATAACAGATTTGATATCGACAGAGCAAAACATGGTATCGTAAGGTCGAACAGTATGTTGAAACAGTCTCCCCTCCTACTACTGTGCAGAGTGCAAACTTAGTTACCGACTATTTTAGACAACTTACCGTCTGTCTCCTAGTACAGTCGATTCTCCGCCATTATTCTCAATTTCTTCTGTCTTGAAAAGTAACTCCAGTGCTTTTTCTTTTCCGATTCTATTCACAACTCGGTGGATGAGTTTTTGCTTTTTCTGCAAAACAAGTGCACAATCAACACTTTATATAATGGAAAATAGGAGTATAGCAGAGAAAGGGTCGATGTAAATAATATCGTCGCGTTTGAATTGAATAGAGCGAAAGGCGCGCGCGACCAACGCGCGCGGAGTTGCGCTACTGTGTCAACAATGAAGACGAATTTTGCTAGTATAAAAAGATGCAGAAGACGTTTCCCTGAAATGTGTATGCGATTTTGTATGCGATTTGCGCGCCGCACGTACGTTAAAATAATTATATTTGTAGAATTTATGACGGTAACCCTTCAAAAGTCAAAATAAACTGCTCGTATAATTATAGACACTATGATATGAATAACTAAATAACACCTTGAACCCAACTTGGAACCACATCCAAGGGCCGCACCGACCCCAGAAAAGCTATAATTCAAGTCAAAAATCTTTACTCGGCCCTGTATGTGATTTGTGTTCCGGGGTAGTGGACAGATGTTTTAGTGGTTGAATAGCTAGTACCTATCCCAAACCATCATAAAAACCAAGTTTTGTTATCTCAACCCACTCAGGCCACTCCCAGGGGCCACACATAACCCAAAATAGCTGAAATCCAGGTCAAATCCCATACATAAAAATCCAGACTGAGAATCTTTACCCCCGTATGCGATTTATGTTCCGGGGTAGGTGGCCCATGTTTTAGTATAAAAATGGGTACTGCCTATCCCAAACCATCATAAAAACCAAGTTTCGACCTCTCAAACCACTCAGGCCACTCCCAGGGGCCACGCCCATCCCAAAATAGCTGAAATCCAGGTCAAATCCCATACAAAAATCCAGACTGAGAATCTTTACCCCCGTATGCGATTTATGTTCCGGGGTAGGTGGCCCATGTTTCAGTATAAAAATGGGTACTGCCTATCCCAAACCATCATAAAAACCAAGTTTCGACCTCTCAAACCACTCACGCCACTCCCAGGGGCCACGCCCATCACAAAATAGCTGAAATCATGGTCAAATCCCATACAAATTCAGACTGAGAATCTTTACCCCCGTATGCGATTTATGTTCCGGGGTAGGTGGCCCATGTTTCAGTATAAAAATGGGTACTGCCTATCCCAAACCATCATAAAAACCAAGTTTCGACCTCTCAACCCACTCAGGCCGCTCCCAGGGGCCACGCCCATCCCAAAATTGCTGAAATCCAGCTAAAATCCAGACTGAGAATCTTTACCCCCGTATGCGATTTATGTTCCGGGGTAGGTGGCCCATGTTTTAGTATAAAAATGGGTACTACCTATCCCAAACCATCATGAAAAACCAAGTTTCGACCTCTCAACCCACTCAGGCCACTCCCAGGAGCCACGCCCATCCCAAAATTACTGAAATCCAGCTAAAATCCAGACTGATAATCTTTACCCCCGTATGCGATTTATGTTCCGGGGTAGGTGGCCCATGTTCTAGTATAAAAATGGGTACTACCTATCCCAAACCATCATAAAAACCAAGTTTCGACCTCTCAAACCACTCAGGCCACTCCCAGGAGCCACGCCCATCCCAAAATAGCTGAAATCCAGCTCAAATCCCATACAAATTCAGACTGAGAATCTTTACCCCCGTATGCGATTTATGTTCCGGGGTAGGTGGCCCATGTTTTAGTATAAAAATGGGTACTACCTATCCCAAACCATCATAAAAACTAAGTTTCGACCTCTCAAACCACTCAGGCCACTCCCAGGAGCCACGCCCATCCCAAAATAGCTGAAATCTAGCTGAAATCCCATACAAATTAGACTGAGAATCTTTACCCCCGTATGCGATTTATGTTCCGGGGTAGGTGGCCCATGTTTTAGTATAAAAATGGGTACTGCCTATCCCAAACCATCATAAAAACCAAGTTTCGACCTCTCAAACCACTCAGGCCACTCCCAGGAGCCACGCCCATCCCAAAATAGCTGAAATCCAGCTCAAATCCCATACAAATTCAGACTGAGAATCTTTACCCCCGTATGCGATTTATGTTCCGGGGTAGGTGGCCCATGTTCTAGTATAAAAATGGGTACTACCTATCCCAAACCATCATAAAAACCAAGTTTCGACCTCTCAAACCACTCAGGCCACTCCCAGGAGCCACGCCCATCCCAAAATAGCTGAAATCCAGCTCAAATCCATACAAATTCAGACTGAGAATCTTTACCCCCGTATGCGATTTATGTTCCGGGGTAGGTGGCCCATGTTTTAGTATAAAAATGGGTACTACCTATCCCAAACCATCATAAAAACCAAGTTTCGACCTCTCAAACCACTCAGGCCACTCCCAGGAGCCACGCCCATCCCAAAATAGCTGAAATCTAGCTGAAATCCCATACAAATTCAGACTGAGAATCTTTACCCCCGTATGCGATTTATGTTCCGGGGTAGGTGGCCCATGTTTTAGTATAAAAATGGGTACTGCCTATCCCAAACCATCATAAAAACCAAGTTTCGACCTCTCAAACCACTCAGGCCACTCCCAGGAGCCACGCCCATCCCAAAATAGCTGAAATCCAGCTCAAATCCCATACAAATTCAGACTGAGAATCTTTACCCCCGTATGCGATTTATGTTCCGGGGTAGGTGGCCCATGTTTTAGTATAAAAATGGGTACTACCTATCCCAAACCATCATAAAAACCAAGTTTCGACCTCTCAAACCACTCAGGCCACTCCCAGGAGCCACGCCCATCCCAAAATAGCTGAAATCCAGCTCAAATCCCATACAAATTCAGACTGAGAATCTTTACCCCCGTATGCGATTTATGTTCCGGGGTAGGTGGCCCATGTTTTAGTATAAAAATGGGTACTACCTATCCCAAACCATCATAAAAACCAAGTTTCGACCTCTCAAACCACTCAGGCCACTCCCAGGAGCCACGCCCATCCCAAAATAGCTGAAATCCAGCTGAAATCCCATACAAATTCAGACTGAGAATCTTTACCCCCGTATGCGATTTATGTTCCGGGGTAGGTGGCCCATGTTTTAGTATAAAAATGGGTACTGCCTATCCCAAACCATCATAAAAACCAAGTTTCGACCTCTCAAACCACTCAGGCCACTCCCAGGAGCCACGCCCATCCCAAAATAGCTGAAATCCAGCTCAAATCCCATACAAATTCAGACTGAGAATCTTTACCCCCGTATGCGATTTATGTTCCGGGGTAGGTGGCCCATGTTTTAGTATAAAAATGGGTACTGCCTATCCCAAACCATCATAAAAACCAAGTTTCGACCTCTCAACCCACTCAGGCCGCTCCCAGGGGCCACGCCCATCCCAAAATTCCTGAAATCCAGCTAAAATCCAGACTGAGAATCTTTACCCCCGTATGCGATTTATGTTCCGGGGTAGGTGGCCCATGTTTCAGTATAAAAATCGGTACTGCCTATCCCAAACCATCATAAAAACCAAGTTTCGACCTCTCAAACCACTCACGCCACTCCCAGGGGCCACGCCCATCACAAAATAGCTGAAATCATGGTCAAATCCCATACAAATTCAGACTGAGAATCTTTACCCCCGTATGCGATTTATGTTCCGGGGTAGGTGGCCCATGTTTCAGTATAAAAATGGGTACTGCCTATCCCAAACCATCATAAAAACCAAGTTTCGACCTCTCAACCCACTCAGGCCGCTCCCAGGGGCCACGCCCATCCCAAAATTGCTGAAATCCAGCTAAAATCCAGACTGAGAATCTTTACCCCCGTATGCGATTTATGTTCCGGGGTAGGTGGCCCATGTTTTAGTATAAAAATGGGTACTACCTATCCCAAACCATCATGAAAACCAAGTTTCGACCTCTCAACCCACTCAGGCCACTCCAAGGAGCCACGCCCATCCCAAAATTACTGAAATCCAGCTAAAATCCAGACTGAGAATCTTTACCCCCGTATGCAATTTATGTTCCGGGGTAGGTGGCCCATGTTCTAGTATAAAAATGGGTACTACCTATCCCAAACCATCATAAAAACCAAGTTTCGACCTCTCAAACCACTCAGGCCACTCCCAGGAGCCACGCCCATCCCAAAATAGCTGAAATCCAGCTCAAATCCCATACAAATTCAGACTGAGAATCTTTACCCCCGTATGCGATTTATGTTCCGGGGTAGGTGGCCCATGTTTTAGTATAAAAATGGGTACTACCTATCCCAAACCATCATAAAAACTAAGTTTCGACCTCTCAAACCACTCAGGCCACTCCCAGGAGCCACGCCCATCCCAAAATAGCTGAAATCTAGCTGAAATCCCATACAAATTTAGACTGAGAATCTTTACCCCCGTATGCGATTTATGTTCCGGGGTAGGTGGCCCATGTTTTAGTATAAAAATGGGTACTGCCTATCCCAAACCATCAAAAAAACCAAGTTTCGACCTCTCAAACCACTCAGGCCACTCCCAGGAGCCACGCCCATCCCAAAATAGCTGAAATCCAGCTCAAATCCCATACAAATTCAGACTGAGAATCTTTACCCCCGTATGCGATTTATGTTCCGGGGTAGGTGGCCCATGTTTTAGTATAAAAATGGGTACTGCCTATCCCAAACCATCATAAAAACCAAGTTTCGACCTCTCAACCCACTCAGGCCGCTCCCAGGGGCCACGCCCATCCCAAAATTGCTGAAATCCAGCTAAAATCCAGACTGAGAATCTTTACCCCCGTATGCGATTTATGTTCCGGGGTAGGTGGCCCATGTTTCAGTATAAAAATGGGTACTGCCTATCCCAAACCATCATAAAAACCAAGTTTCGACCTCTCAAACCACTCACGGCCACTCCCAGGGGCCACGCCCATCCCAAAATAGCTGAAATCCAGGTCAAATCCCATACAAATTCAGACTGAGAATCTTTACCCCCGTATGCGATTTATGTTCCGGGGTAGGTGGCCCATGTTTTAGTATAAAAATGGGTACTGCCTATCCCAAACCATCATAAAAACCAAGTTTCGACCTCTCAACCCACTCAGGCCACTCCCAGGGGCCACGCCCATCCCAAA